TAATATTTCTATGCCAAGCCAACACGAGTTTGTAATGTATAAACAGTTTTGCATATTTTGATTACTCATATTTATTTGAACTTGTTGTCCGCGATAATTTTCCAAACCATCTTTACATATTATCACGCAATGGCTTAAATTATAATTGCGTAAAATCGTCACCCTGGAGCAGTCTACTTCGCACGGGGCTATAGATATTTTCACATTTAGTAATTTCTATGGGCGCATTATACCAGTTCAATACAACCCGTTCAGTTAATTACACATTCTGCGGTTGGCAATCTAGCATATTAGTAAATTTAGGCTGTGGTCATCATGAATATACCATCATCTAACTGTCCATAAATTACACGTTTAAGCATGTCCCTTTTGTGGTATCTTTAGGCACCAACCTCTTGAGTACGGATCAATTGGCTTTGACCATGACTCAAAGATATAATTTCCTGCTCCCGATGTCTGAAAGCCATTTCTGGTATTCAAATGACCACTCGTATCATCTCTTTGATGTATGTTAGCACGCGGTTATGAATTGCAATATGTAAAATCCTACAAATCAATCTTGAACGACGTCTGGGAGACCTGCTATTAGCGATTACAAGGATATACCATATCTATCATAGGTACATCATAGTATGCTGTTCGCTTGATTTATCAGAAGAATACAGGCGATTCTAGTCTTTGAGTCTGGAACTTGCTATCAAGATTCGTAGCCTCTGGGAAGATTTGCCATCAGACTGTTTGAACTTGCTTTTATATGCCATAACTGATTTCAAAATATCTAAATCTTGCATTTTACAAGAAAACTATCACCGAAGGGAACCATCGCCATTATATATAGAGAGAAATAGGGTTTAACGTCCACTCAACACAAACTAGTTCATTTAGGGACTAACATATGGTTTAATTTTATTTCAATAATTCGCTTGCGCGTGGGGGTCTTTAGCAGTGGGGGGGGGAAAAGGAGTGCCCGGGGAAAACCCACGAGGCTGGACAGGCGACCATACTCCTTGTCACGTACAACCGGGGATTCGAAACCACGCCAGTTGACTCAATGAAAGGCCTTATCGCCATTATAAAACAGTCACTGTTGAACTCTGGTTTATCGTGTCCCATATGTGATAATTTGTCTCCCCCAATATATTTCATGATAGATGTAATGGATTTAAATCCACATGGATTCGAAGAATCCAAATTTATGAAAATAATAACACTTAAATTATAGTTTCAGGGCCCTGTTTCTCGAAATCTTAACTAAAGATAAAATCCAAATTTCAGTAGATACTTCAATTTTGATTGGCTAAGCACTAAAATCTACCTAATATTATCCAATCAAATTACTAAAATTTGGATTTTATCTTAGTTAAAATTTCGTGAAACGGGCCCCAGGTCTATAAGTAGATTGACTGGATATACACCATAGACAATTACCGAAAGATAAATAATTTAAATTTTAAAAATTTTAAAAAATGGTACAAAACATCTTCTTTTAATCACGATGCGTTAAATCTTAGAAATTAAAAATACTTGAGTGAGACTCCAACAGGTGTCTTAAAGCAGAATTTGGTTACCTTGAGATATTTTACTGCTGATTTCAGTGAAATGTTTATATTTCCATATCTTGTTAATTTGGTTCCAAACAAATTCCAGAAAACAATGTAGAGGAAGATGTCTCGATTGATAACTTTAGCAGTTTATCGATCTAAAATAGTTATATGGTATGTTTCTAAGATATTAGGATCTCGTCGTTTCGTCCCTAATCCTCATTATCCAGTATAACGACATGTTTACTTGGACGAAGAGAAATTATAAGACGAGGTAGATAAACCCTTCTTTCACATTAGCCGGTATAAGTCAATTACATATCCCCTTATTAATTTGCTTGTCAGTAATATCCCCTGACATCATCTCAGAAATACTGAACTAGAAGATTTAACACGAGAGAAAATATAGGAATTGTATGTTAAATAGTTTCGAAGGCCCTGTAAATTTTGAAGGGGTTCCGTTGTGGTCCAGTGAATCAGGCGTTAAACACCAGTCTGGAGGTTTCGTGTTCGCTGCCGGTGTTGCCCGAGAAAGTTTCTCGGGGGTTTCCGACGTTGGTTCCACTTGTCAGTGGTGCGGGCAAGAAACAGTGTCTAGTCGTTACGATGATACGAAAAGCTGGGGTCCCGTGTACATGTTGGTTTGCACGTAAAAGAGCCCTTGACGGTAGGAATTCGAAATAAGAATAGGCGTTAGTGCCGCTGTCCAGGTAAAACTTTTCTTTTTAGCACATTGCATGGATTATGCCCGTCTTAATGAGCTTGGTTGGTGCAGATCGGAAGGACATTTACAACCCATTTCATTTCCATTCGGTAAACTGGAATTCTATCAGTGAAGGACTTGATTGTGATATCAGTTTTATGCACGACTACGCATGTAATACAGGAATATCATGTTATACGAGTTACTACATGGTTTTAAAGGCCGTTTCTATCCTATATTGACAACAAACAAAATCTTAATGAACACTGATTTCAGCTCGCAAGATCTCGGAGCTAACAAATTACGAGTGATACTCTAGATTATTATAAGAATTTCAATTTCGTCTCCCAGACCATGAACCCAAAGATACCACAGACTCAATATAAATGCATGAGTCGCATGGCTGATGATAAAAGATGCGTTTACGCACCAATATACACAACTAAAGCTGGGCAAATATCTGATAGAATAACACTGCACTAATTCTACTCATCCATGTAATTGGTCCGCGTACTGATCCAATTTAGGCAAACAGCCTTACATGCACATTTCACTTTTAGATTTACATTAAATCGAAATAAAATCAAACTACATTTGTCTTCGTTTATCTGTGACTACACATGGTCATTGGGTGTATCTGACACATCAGTTAGGAATCTAAAAATTCGTATTGAATAGGATGAGGTAACTGAATTATGTTTTTAAAAATGTTATAATGTTAATAATTTTTTTGAAAGTTTTGGTGTACAAAGACTTAATTACATATGACATAAATAAACAGTCATATCCCCAATTATTCTAGAGATATGGAATTTTACATCCAATTAATAACACTAAACATGTTGTTGCTGGGTTTTAGGCGCCTCTCTGTAGAAGTAAACATGATTAACTGTAAGTTATTCCAAAATAATGACCAATTATACAAACATGTTTTGTTCTGCGTTTGTTTTAGTTTTAATAAATGTTACTATGCCCAATGTTAAGGTCCCCACAACTCACCCTACATCTTTAAATACAAAACTGGGTTGACGTATTTCAAAAGTAAGCTGTATTGCTATACTACTTTCAAATACATATTTTACCATGGGCTCAAGTCTGGGTAAAACTAAACCTATAGTCTTTAATATAGAATATTCTTCTGAATTATAGAGATTAAACATACATTATGCAAGGGCAAAACCTGTCTATTGCAGGTCTTTCTCTTTAGGCCTGGAATGTTATCTAAATTATTAATTAGACATTAATTAACCTATCCAGACCATAATCAACTCTAGATGGCATCGCTAGCCTGCGATATTTAGTGGATTATGAGCCGATTTACTGCATAACTTTCCTTCCCGATTTGACGATTAAATGGATAATCGAGACTATGCTGTTTATCTTCTGACTTTAATAATGATGATGGTGGCTCATCGGAAATTTCAAACGCTTTTTTCTCGGTTCATATTGGATCAATTTGAATGAAATTTTCAGCAAATTGCCTTTACGTTATCTGTTTTTTAACTACATGTATTATAGTGAGAACTTCCAACTCGTTATCGAATCTCCCATAATGTATATTTAAATGGGTGCAAGCATCAAGTAATTGCAATTTGAGTAAAACTTGAGCAAAAGAAATGAAGAGAGGCCTTAGCCTATTTCAATTATGCCCCCCCCCCTTCATCCACCCATAAGGTAGAAGAAAGTATGTTTTGAGCAGAGCCGAGGGTTATAACGGATATTTTAACCTACAGTAGGCCTAGTCTTAAGCATATGTCATCGTTCTCAATTATGTTCAAAACCCAATTTCATCTTACTCTATTCGGGAAGGTGGGGGGTTGTGAGTGAGTGTGTGTGTGTGTGTGTGTGTGGGGGGGGGGGTCTGAAGTGTAATAGCCTAAGGCGTATCTTCATCTAAATCTGTTATTGTACCAGAGGGGGCATATACGATAACGGGCAACAACCTAATGGTCTATTCCGCTTCAAAAGAGTTCTAATTAGAAAATAATTGCCTTCCTGGCAAATAGTGAATGACCGTGCGTGGCTAGGGAATGCACATGTGTTGTAGCTTAATCCGTCTTCATAAGCCCAGTCGAAGCAGAGCACTAGGACGTTAAACCCCATTTCATTTCATTTGTAGATATAGTAATTACGATGGTAGATGGGATAGCTTGCTAAAATGATATTGGGTATGTTCCTACGTCACGACGCTCTTCTGAATTTAATATACAAGTTAGAAAAGAGGTGACGAAGAAGCGAGTCTGGTTATCTAGTCTAACAGGGGAAGTAATTCGTTTCTTTTAGGGTCTCTTTTGACGCCGATTAGATTTCGAATGACTATGAGGACGGTTAAATGCGTTATATTTCATATTCAACAAAATTCTAAAACGGTATCATTTGCAAACTCTGGACTTTAGAAGTAGGGGGAAACCGGAGTAAACGGAGGCGACCCTACTCCTTGTTACCCTGGGTAATTGAACACTTGTATATATAACTAATCTTAGGCTCTACAGCGCTTTGAACCTCTCGCCCCCAACTACTCCGTTGGGGGCCCAGAACACTGAAATTGAACATTCTTAACATAGAAGTGAAAAACCGTAGTTACCAACAATTACTATCTACATGTAAGTTGTGTTGGCCTCTCGGCGATCGACAATCATTACTGTATTTTGTTTGTAATAACCCTTCCCTATATTTACACCGTGGCAAAACTGTCTGCTGGCATTAACACAAACTACGCAATTCAACCAATTATTTTATTTGACAAGTACATCTCATTTCGTCAGTGTTAAAATACAGCAGTTTTTTTTAAAATTTATTTTAAAATGCTCCATCCAATATTCAAACAAAAATAGTCCTATAGATAGGTATATTCAAATCTTTTTGCAAAGTCTTAATTTATTTAATAATAAATGAACTGTATGTTTGTTTTATGCTTTAATGGAACCATCTTCTTCTTCTGTTTGTTCATCGAATTGACTGAAAAATAAAACATTATTTATGCAAACTCTAATGATAATGATTTAATAAAAAGCTAAATTAATGATGTTTCGACAATACAACTTATAAGTTATGGTCATTAGTTTTTATTGAATTCTTATTGCCATTATACCTTTTTTTGGTTTACCAGACAACCCATTCTACATGAAGGTATTTTCTATATAGAGCTTGATACAAAATTGACTACAGTATTATAATTCCTATTTTTGACTTTATAAATATATGTGAACGGTTAGGACCCTGTTCCCTAAATACATTTGTGGGAACGCCATATTTCGAAAAATTCTCCGAACAAGAATGGTCAACCCGGAGGTAAACATATGCATATCAGATTTCCGCATAATAAGGGTTCAGTAAGAGTCAATATATCATGCTGTCGCAGGAAAACTTTTGAATGATGACCACGGAGAAAGTGCTTCATGCATGGCTTTCTTAACCTCTAGACTGACACAGACAAATTGGTTGTCTTTAAGAAAATGTACTTTGCAATTATCCAGGTTTACATTTTAAATAATATATGATCAGTAATATGGTAAATCATAAATCATTTGTCAAATTGATTGATGCCGTTTTTGGTTTATATAAATGAAATGGGATTGACGATCCTACAGTTTTGCATCAATCGGGATAATTAATACGGGCATTCGCCATTAAGTGTGTTATGACAAATAGTTTGCCCGGACAGTAGTGTTATAACTACTAAAATTCCAACACTCCAGGCTTCTTTTACGTGCACGTCAATGTGTACGCGGGAACTTGATATTTCATCCCCCTCACACGACTAAACGATGTTCGTCCTACACCATTGACGTGAAAACTACGCCGAAAAATACCAGGTCGCCCTTTTATAGCGAGCTAGCACCCTATTCACTGAGTCACCACGGCTCCCCTTTGGTCTATACTTTAATAATAATGAACAGAAGATGGCCCTACTATTATAGGGTAATACAAAGTAGGATAATGATCTTAAGAGTAAATCATTGTCATTGTAAAAATTAAAACAGAAAAATGAATAAATGTTAACTACGCCGTACTCTTGTGTGCAAATATATAACGAATTGAATTGGCTACAAGAACATTGATAAACGCACATACGACTCTAAATCTTTATCAAGAAGTAAAAGTATTTATCTGATGAAACTAAACGGGTGTGTTTACGGTGAGTTGAGCTAATGTCCAGACATATAACGGTCAGTGGCATGTATAAATCATTCTCTTATTTACTGTAATCATTATCATTAACTCATGGCTGGTGGTCAACCCTTGAATAGCTTAAAAATGAACTAATATGAATTATTCACGAAGAACTTAAAATAATGGGCGCCGTGGATAATTTTGCTATCGATAAAGCAGTAATCAGTTCGAAGTAAGCACTGTTCCGGCAATATTCCAGAATATAATGAACAATAAAATGTCCCCTTTTGATTATTGATAACGCAATAACCTTCACTTTGTTAATTAGTAAATCGTGTGTTTTTTAAAGGCTGCATTGAGCTTTTCGGGCCCTTTTAGAAAAAGTAACAATATTTTGACAAAATAATTTTACAATACAAAAATGTGTTAAAATACAAGTATGGCACGGCGAACACAGGTCGACAATAAGGTTGAAGTTTTCCCTTCATAGATAAAGAAAGTAACTTCTCTACAAGTTTCTGAAGTTGTTTTTAAAGCTTCTTTCTTGGTGCGAAAATGTCGGTATGCATTTAAGTTCATCGCCATTACGGTGGTTCACCCTTTGGAATAGGTAAGGCCAATGACACTGTGTATACAAGCTTTAAGAATCGCTTTAAGAATCGGGTAAAGTATAATTAGCAAGAGTATTGTTATTGATCGAAACTAATAACACAAACCTCCATGAATTAAATGCTAAGGTACACTGATTCAAAACTATCCATTCCATAAGTTCATGATACTTGAGTATTTTCTAACAAGAATTCGAAGTCACAGTGAGAAGAAAAGTAATTACTTTCCTGCTTCCGATAAACACTGGCGCTATTTTTCACCAATATTGACATTTTCACTAAAGCTAATATCACATATCTACATTAAGCCGAAAATTTCCAAAGCTTCATATACGATCAGTGAACTTAATTTGCTTAATTTTATCTCTTCAGGGGTTAATTTAGATCATGGTGTTATCGCATAAATACATGATTAAAATGGTGAAAAGGAATATCTTTTCACTTAGTTTCACTCTTTCAACACTCTATCTTGAAGTCTAATAAACAAGATTCGGGATAAACATATCAGTAATGACTAGCAGCGGTCACTTGAAATGCCCGTGGATTGACTCGCCGTTTTCCAATATCCTACAGATCATGATCAAGTGGCAAACGGGTATTCAGAAACTTTCATTCATCGAAGGAATATGAATGGGGAGAAATTCTATGCCCTGTAGGACTCTGTCAACTAAGTTAACGTCAAGAAGCCATTCACTATATCAATGGTTGAAGATTGTACACTTTCACTCATTCTTAAGTTGAGAGTTACCTAAGGCTATCGCCATTTTTGTTATTTACGAGTTCAAATATTACAAAGCCACTTACATCAAAAACACGAAAGTAGAAGATTGCTCTAGCGGAATCTGTGAATCTGGGTGATATCTGAAACTCTGGTTAAACGGTACAAACGATAACGACGCTGGTTATCAAAGAAAAACAGGATGACATTTATTCTCAAAAGAGAGAGAGGGAGAGAGAGAGAGAGAGAGAGAGAGAGGGTGTGGGGTTTAACGTTCACTCGACACAAACTAGGTCATTTCCGGACTAACATACGGTTTAATTTTATTTCAATAATTCGCTTGCACGTAGAGGTCTTTAGCAGTGGAAGGAAACCAGAGGACCCTGAAAAAACCCCACGAGGTTGGACAGGCGACCCTACTCCTTGTCACGTGCAACCACGCCAGTTGACACAATGATAGGCCTTATGATACAGCACGCACGTGCTAACCATTAGGCCATCCAACCCCCCTATTCTCAAAAGAACTGGAACCTTCATTTCTTTATAAACCACAAAACCGTATAAAAGATGATTGGAGCATGTACAATTACATAAATCAAATTATTAATGAAAATGTTCTGTGAGATCATAATCGATATTGATGATAAAAAACCCAACAAGACAAAACAATCTTCCTACTTTCGATTTCTTGAAACCATTTTGGAAAATGGTTGATCTAGTGTAAATTGTTATGTCATCCATGGTATCAGATCTTATGCATTGCATAGTTACTTCAAACCGCTGATAGTCATTTATATTTTTCGGAAAATATCTAATTTTTTCATAACTGAATCCACGCTTATATGTAACCATATCGATTATTTAATTAGAAAATCTCCGGGTATAGATTCAGTCGGATTAAAAGAGAGCCACCAAAGATTGTCAAAAACAAGCTGATATGACTAGGGAAGCCAATTCTGTTGCTAAATTTAACTTAATTCCTTTTGTCAATGAGCCCAACATATCTGTATTTTCAGGCCACCTATCAAAATGTGCCTTGGGGCTAGCAGAGCCTTAATCCGGCAGTGGGTGGCCTAGAAAGGATCGTTGTCTTCGAGAGTCGGTTGTATGTAGCTCTATTCTTGTTTCTTAAAGAACAATCTCTGCAAATTTAAAATAACTTCGTTATCTCAAAATTCTTCTTACTATATGTGTACATGTATTAGTGCTAACGTTTTTATTAACATTTTAAGGGGATTTGTTTTAAAATGAATAATTCCTATTCATTATGAGGCTTCCATACTTCACTAAACATTAACCACCAAAAATAAAACTATTGTGTTCTCTTTAATAGTCTTTTCTTGCAAAAATATTCCAGAAAATTAAAATAAAACGAAGAATGGGTTTAAAGCGAGAATTTCATATTTTCTAAGAAAACAAAATTATTTCTATGTCTTTTGCTTAATAGGTTGTCAACTTACTATTATACGATCATAGGTATCATTCTCACACTTAAAAATCATTCACACCGGAAGTAATATCACAATTTCCTCCTTGCTTTTCTATTCCCCCCCATGGAATAGCTATCTTCAAACGTTTGGATTTGAAGTTGAAAATGATATTTTTGCCAATTTCTCAACTGACAGTAGTGAATTATAGGATTATTCTTTAACAAGGTAGGATTGTTTATAGAGACCATCTATTTTAAGGCTTTATTTTAATACATTTTAAAAATATAACTTAAAAATATGAAATTCTTGCTTTAAGGAAAATTAAAGTATATGCTGTCGATCAAATGAATTCATAGTCATGTAAGAAGTTAAAAACTAGATAATGTAAAGGCAATTTGCTGAAAATTTCATTCAAATTGATCCACTATGAACCGGGAACTAAGCGGTTGAAATTTCCGGCTAGCCTTGATTATCATTACTAAAGTCAGTACGATAAACAGCATAGTCTCGATTATCCGTTTAATCCAATCTGATTAAAACACAGATCCAATTTCGTTTCGTTTTTATAGTTCAAAATTTCGATTTTACTTGTCTTTACTACACTTGGATCTGGAAGCGTTGTTATTTAACTCGTGTTCTGCTTGAAATGAGGAGTCAGCCAATCAAATGGTCTGTCGAATCGAGCGTTTGACCTTTTTTGAGCGGAACTGTGGGTAGACATTAGCGGCAATAGAAATCAAAACAAAGCAAAAGTAGTTCATGGCGGTCGCTAATTGGTTAATCGAATGACTGACGTAATCGGGTCAAATGTTGCTTGCTTGGTACCTGACGTCATAGAACGTGAACTCCCACTATAACTTGTTAGATCTACATGTAGTGTAGGCCATCGATAGTATAAAAAACGAAATGAAATATAGATCTATATTTGAATTAGATTGCATTTAATCGTTAAATCGTGAAGGAAAGTTATGTTGTAAATCGGCTCATAATCCAGTAAAGATCACAGGCTAGCGATGTCATCTAGAGTTGATTATGGTCTGGATTGGTTAATTAATGTCTAATTAATGATGTAGATAACATTTCAGGCCTAAAGAAACACCTGCAATAGACAGATTTAGCTCTTTCATAATCTATGTTTAACTTGTCCGGAAATATTGAGTAGCTTGAAAATGATCACTAAAGAAATTTGTTGGACATAATTGACTCTTACGACGAACTTTGTGTCTTTTTTGGGTGACTACATCTTCCCAACTGACCAGGGATTAAAACACAGCAATGACCCGACAAAGTCTATTGCTCGCTGGAAATAAACGATGTCGCTGCTCTGCCCATGCGGGTAGGATGTAGACAGGTTCGTCAAGAAGCTCGTCTCCAACTCTGCTATGGATCCTTTGCTTTGATCTAGAAGTAGCCAAGTCTTTTTTACAATGATCTTTACCTGGAATTTTCCTTAATACCGCGAACTTTGACATTTTGAAATGTCTGTGTCTGGTTTGTCTAATATTGTATGTCACGGAACACTCCCTATTAAATGCTTCTAATTTGTTTTTGTGATGAATAATTAATAAATATTTCAAAAATAACTGAATTTAATTGTGATGGATTGTAACGTCGATTCATTGTAATTATAACCATAGAAATATATATTTATATATTTCTATGATTATAACAATGAAGTTTATTTTTGTACATGCGTGGAGACATGCGATAAGTAGTTTGTCCAATGAAGGTAATGTTTTAAAGCACATCCCGGTTCTCTCTGATTTGGAAGACAAAACAAAAACAAAGCAACAAAACAAGCCGATAAGGGCAGTGAACTGGGTGATCAAAAACGTTTTTTGCAAAAACTAAGACCCATTGTAGTCACAGTAACCCAGCCAAGTATCCTTGGCTGGTTTTCATTAAGATCGTAGAGTAACACAACTGACCATGTCTGTACACATAACATGTTGTGTGTTTATTCTTCAAATCACTAAATGATAAGATGCAGGAAATATTTAAATATTTAATTATACCAACAACGAATCGTATGTTCAAAGATAGCATGAGTGCAGAGCTGCAGATTTCTTGTTCTAATCAAGGGTGGTAACTACCATATCTGTCATTACGTATACGACGATTAACCTACCATGAATGGTGCTTTTGATACTTATCTTTTAAATTTTAATCCTGGGCCCACAAAATGATAAGCGTCTAAACTGCGCATTTCTATTTGGCGATAAATAAAGATAGAACGAACTAGGACAGAAGTAGAACGGTCTTCTTTATTTGTGTCAACAACCCCAAATATGTTACAGGTTACCCCATGCATTCCACTAATGCAATATGAAGACACATGTAGAGTTTGAAATCCCATCTTTTAGAAGAAACTTCTACAGGGTTGACTAGATGGTATGATGCGCACAATTACCCCTTCCCCTAAAAACATAGACCAAAAGCAAAAACACAAACAACCCAAACAGAAGCTTTCGCCATTGAGAAAACGTTTCACGTTATAGGCTAAAATTTCTAGGAATTATGATATCAATCTAATTAAAATTTAAAAATCTGTATTTCGTTTCATCTGTATGGTTCTGATCTGCTGCACTACATAAAATGTAACCATTTTCTTCGAGCGGCTGCCAGTCAGAGGTATGCACGAGACATCAGAGCGTTTTGAAATAGATGAAAACTAACAATGGGAGAGTTTTGTTTCATTGGATGTTTGCACGTAACAGTGATAAAACTTGTCAGATGTTAAGCGAAATATAAAATTCAGGATTATAAAAGGAAGAAAACGACGGAAACATCTGATTCTAATCAGACTAGGTTGCTGATTCAATAACCAGGGGGTCCCGGTTTCAACTCCGTGTTGGCCAAGAAAGTTCCTCGGGATTTTTCCGCGAGTTTTCCTTTTGTCGGTACTACAGGATGTTGGTCCTGACAAGGAACAGCGTTTAATCGCTCGGATGGGACGGAAACCCAGATCTCGTAAACACGTTGGCATGCATGTAAAAGAAACCTTGACTGTTGGCATTCGACGAAAAGTAGGCTTAAATGCCGCTGTCTGGACTAAATTTCCCTTATTATAGCCCACTGCAAGGCAGACTAGGACGTTAAACCCCATTTTATTTCTAATCAGATTGACTATGCCTCATACTAACCTTAAATCTATTATACCGTTCACACTTAACTTTTTACACAAAACTTTCACTTGTTCTTTAGTAAGATTCAATTCATTTACATTCTGAAATAGATGATCAAATTATCAGATGGTTGGGCGAAATGAGTTGTTGCGTAACCTACTGCCTTCTTCAAGATTTTCTGATTCAATTGATTGATCGCACACACATTATAATGCTTAATAACTGCAAGCATGAGCACACTAAAAGTGGATACTGCAATTAGTTGGACAAAAACAAATATGCACTTCTTGTTCCAGTAATAACTCTACCGATGTCGAAACAAAACAAGGCTATAAGAAAAGTCCCATTAACAGATACTCTAGATGCCATTTTGGGTCCAGTCCTAGCTTAATAGTTCCATTGGATGATCGAGAGATTCTAAGTTAGATTCTGAAAATTTTATTTTTTTTAAATTGCGTTTTAATTGCCTAGAATATACTTCAGTATGCACCAAATGGAATCTATTGTTCAAAGAATTTGTGCTGGAGGATCCCCACACCCACCAGGGGGCTTCGCGCAGCACTGGACCCAACGCTGCCATTGCCCCCCCCCCCCCCGCACAAGGTTAATCCGGCTCTGTTAATATTTTTTATAATACCTACTTTTAAAATATTTCTAAATTCATCTTCACGTAATACACAGCTTTCCTCTGGCGTAAAGATATCCGTTACAGAAAGCCCAGAACTGGTGACGTAATTTTTAAACACGCCTATTGGATCTTGTCTAAATTTAACCATTTCTTCAATAGGTATTTTGGAATGTTGACATTCGGTTAAAACACCATCAAAAATCACCTGGAGTGTCCGGGTTTCACTTATCTTTGAAAGTAGTTCGGTAAATTCCGTTTTGACAAGAACGTTCTGAAAAACACAATCGAATGAAGGAGTTAAATTGTGTCATATAAAAGTTGTATTTGTTAAGGATTATAGGGAGTCGTTGTGGTTCGATAAGTAAGACGCTGATTCACTAAGCAGGAGGTCAGGGTTCCATCCTGGGGTTTTCCAACGCGGTTTCCCAAATTCAGTGGTGCATGGCGGATGACTTGACACGAACAGCTTCCAGTCGTTCGGATGGGACGAAAAACCTAGGTCTCGTCATGGAATTCGATATAAGAGTATAAGCTGTAGCACCGCTGTCCGGGAAAATTTCGCTCATATCACACGGTAAGGCGTACGCCCCTCTTCATGAGCCCAGTCGGTGCAGAAAAGTAGGAAATTAAATCCTATTTTATTTTTATTTGTTAACGGTTATATCTAAATTATCGGTTTTGCTTAAATGTTAAAAATGTGAAATGATCAAGATACATTGTAGAAAGTACTCACGGATAAGTCTAAATAATTAATGGCACTACTTTCATTTTGCTCTAAAGCTCGTAACATACACATAGCAGCATCTGCCTCAAAAGGGTTAAATCCCATCTGTAAACAGAAAAATATTTTATAAAATAATTATGTACGAGGGCAGGCTGAAAAGTTATAAGCCTGAAAGGGATCGATCAAATAGGTTGAAACAAACTTTTGCCACCAACAAGTACAATCATTGAATGAATCATAGACATAAGAACTGCAACTGTATCTTCGTACCAGACCATCTTGTGAACCTACCAATTGCAATCACCATAAATGAAAAAAAAAATTGACTGTAGGGCAGTCATCAAGTACCTGCAACTGAAAGGACCAACCCCAAGACAGATACATGCCGACATGGTCTACACTTTACGGGATGATGTCCCTTCCTTTTCCACAGTAAAGAAATGGGCTGCGGAATTTAAGCATGGCAGAGATAGAGTCTTGACGATGACCCGCATCCTGGAAGGCCATCAACAGCAACCAAACAAGAAAACATTACCCGGGTGCATGGCATAGCGATAACTGATCGACGATTGGCAACTCGCCAAATTACCCGTGTTGTTGGCATTTCTCAATGCGGATCAGTAACGTGTCAGATTCCTGACATTTCGTTTTAAAAAATGGTGCCTTAAAAACCAAGTTAACTGGTGATTATCTAGAATAAATGAGGGGCTGGGGTTAAATAACATTGGATAACTATGAATTAAACATATCATAATATGAAATATTAGTGGCTTTATGAATATCTAATATTGTTGGTTTGAAACTAACTTTTATTCCAATTTTTCGTTCTTTTGGGATTTTTGATATATATATAAACATTTATGCATGTTGAAAGGTATATTAATGATGCATAATCGATAGTTTGAATTCTTAAGAAAAGTTATGTGTTCATTATAATAAGACGAGATAAACCTAATATAGTTTCTATGTTTTATAAACTTCTCTGGGGCGCAACAAACACGTTTACATGACTTTCACTGTTTTATTCATGAACAGACCAAAGTGATCCAAAGTAGTACTTTTATGAAACTTATGTGATGGATTCAAAAATTTACTTTTGGACTAGTAACTGGTCCCCAATCGCTACTCATCTTGGTGTTGTTGTTCTTGGGGGCCCATGAAACTAGTCATACAAGATAGCTGCCATGACGTCATAGTACGATGACACTTACTTGTTAAATTTTAACCTTTCATATGAATGTATGTTAAAGCAAGATCCGCTATTTCATTTAAATTAACTCTGAACAAACTAACGTACATTTCAAATACTGTTTATGTTTGATCTTTTGGAAAAAACTGTTGGCTTAGTGTCATTAATCTTAGATCAGCAAACTCAATTTCTATCGAAAAGGACGCCCATACCCTCTCATGTTGTCCTTCTTAATATCAGGAATTCAATTATTTACTAAAAAATTAAACGTGGTCTGGTTCTAGTGTTATCTGTTTTTCAATTTTAATATAACATGGATTTAGTCATAAAATATCTCAAATTGTCGATTTACTGCTCGTTCTCTTGGGGAAATCGCGAATTCAATTTCAATATTTTCAAAAGAAAACGTGGTCTAGTTCGATTACATCACTTTCTTTTTATTTTCGACAATTTCCTGGTGAGATAATGGAAATTCCGACACTAAATAGACATCCTTTTTATTTGATTTTCGACAAAATTCTTCTTTTGACCCTAAACTATTAGAAAGTAATGAGACAAGAGATTTGGGAGTTAATAACACGGAGAGTTATTTACCGCTTCCACTGTTTTTTAAACCCTAATCTATCGGTAAAATGGCGATTCACAGGAAGCATCTATTAAAGAGGTAAACAATTTAAGGCCGGCTTTGTCTGTTCTGAAGATGTGATGGGTAAAGCGGAGATTGGTAAAGACTAAATAAAGAGAGTACTTTTAAGGTCCAGTTATTTACTATCATCGATGTATGCATACCAACTAACCGTTTGATTAATAAGCGTTTAACACAACCCATTTTAGAGTGGTAAAGGGTAAATTGGATCCATGTTCAGTCTTCAAAAAGGGTTAGGGTTAGTATTCCCCAAAATACTCATTATATAAAGCCGCCATTGTGGACTCTGGAAATTTACGAACCTCCCCGACCAGTCTACAATTAGTATCTCCCAATTCAATTTCGGTGTTAGCCAAGGTTTTTTTTCGGGATTGTCCGGTCAGGTTTCCCCTTGTCAGATTTCAGGACAGAGGATCTGGCAAAGGTGTGTGTAATCATTCGGATGGGAAATCGAAACGGTAAGTGATCCATCTATGGATTATGATAAAGTCACGGTAATAGGTCACGATAACGTTATCGGTCTACTTACGAATTATTTAAAACAGTAAACGCACCCAAATAAACTGATATCACATTTTCAATTTTATTTTCAATATGTTTTGTTAAAATGAAAACCCTGTGAAAACTACATATCTTATAGTCGATTTAATCAAATTTGATGTATTGATTTATTTTGTGAAGTGGGTATCTATCCAATTCAAATTTAGACCCTCATACACAGCCGATGTTCACACATAACTTATTTGGTGTAGATAGTTTTAGCCAATAAAAAAATAATTAGTGAACAAATCTACTTTCGCTTTATATTTCGAAACGAAAATATAATCTTATGCATCTTGTACCATCGCTAATACGTCAGATCAAAGTAATTCCAAACTTATTTGGAACTTAATCAAAGCGGTTTATTGCCTGTGAGTGTAGGAAATCGATGTCAAGGTTACCGTTTAGCTGTGTAAGCGTACCTTTAAGAAGTTTGTGTTAAAGTGGAAGTAAACAGAGGAACAATATCAAATCTTTACTAACGATTACTTAAAGGATTTTTTTTCTTGAATAGAGCTGTAGAAAACTAAGTCTTTTCCAATATTCGCTTGATAGACCAGTTATATGGTGCCAGGCAAATGGACAGATAGATTTCTCCAAGAATTCAGTCTTAATGTGGTCGTGATTACAGCAGAAGAGCTGGGATTAGTTTACAATGTGACCAGAACGCTAACAACAAGCTTCCATTTTAATTAGGTTAATTACATCTATTCTACTGGATTATTTTCCATATTAATAAACACGTCCGTTAAAGGGGGATAATCGGCACGGGATCCTACTGGCAGACAAATCATTCACAAATGACAATTGAATGTGACCACATTAGTCTGGAAAGTTCTAGAGAGAGCGATAGAGATACAACTTGATACAAACTAGGTCAATTCGGGATTAACATATGGTACAATTTTATTTCAATAATCTGCATGCGCATAAGGATCCCTAGCAGGTGGGAAAATCCGGAGGACCCAGAGAAACCCAGGTTCGTGGGAAGACAACCCTACAAGCTTGGGATCAAAACAACGTCATTTGACTCAATGGTAGAACTATTGGCCTAAGCACACGCGTTAGACCATGTGTTCACCCAACCCACATTCAAGCAACATCGTTTGAAAACGGATAAAGTTTCGATATTTCATCGGTATGTATATAAACCAACATTGACATTAAAAATATATAAAGTTGAATTGGGTTGATCTGGTGTGTTATTATTGATGGGCAAACTCAATACGATTAAATTCTGGCTGGCCACAGATCACCAATGATTTTCCCCACTGACTTTAATGTTAATTCTCGTCTCTTAGATCGGCTCTAACCTTTTCCCAAATTTTCGTTGGGTAGAACGCTTTCTACCAGATCGAGCAACATGTGGCAACCTCTTACCCAAAAGCACGTATGAGGTTCATCATGAAAATCTTGAGATACACAAGCTTGAAGAAGAGACAGGTAAACATGCAATTTTCCGCCTTACATTTCAACCTAACCAACCGCTTAACTTTTGTATCCTTCCGTCTCAAAATTATAATTATTCACCAAAACCGGTTATAAAATGTATATTCAAACCCTTTCCTTCAATTCTACACCAAAAGATCGCCGTGCAAAAGCGGGAAAACAGAAAGGGGTAAGAAGGACTAAAAATAGCATTGGCCCTTGTTTCATGGGTGACGGCCCAGGAATATGTGAGCTGTTTATGGCTGGAAGTCGGCATGTGTACTACTTTCAGTTTCTTTTTGTTGACAGTGAATACAAAATAGTCTGTATCTCAACCCTGGCCATATTTATAGACTACTATTTCAACAAAGACAAATCGTCATATAAAAGTTGATAAGCTTACTATTTACCCAAATTAAGATGGTGTCCCCTCTGTTTCCCATGGGACATATTTTTTCATTACTGTGTCTCAGTAAAAAATTGTGAAATTTCCCTCATCGCACACATTATCCTTAATTATGACATTTCATTTTAGTTAGTAAACAAGCTAATCTCTTAAAAAAAAGCTAAAAGAAAAAAAATAATAATCCTTTAAATTACGCACCTTTAAGACTTGTAAGACATCATTCTCTTTAATACCGGAAGCTAAGTGACACACGCCATCAGCCGGAATTCTGGAGTAACTTATGTCGAGTTCAAGAAGAGTTCTATTATTTTTTAAAGCTTTTCCGATTGCCTCGGCCCCATCTCGACCTAATCCAGACATAGCTATGTAGAAATATTTCAACCCAACATTTTCCTGAAAAATAAAATTTACAATAAAATTTACAATAAAATTTACAATAAAAGTTTAGAATAAAATTTTAGAATACAATAAAATTTACAATAAAATCAAATGTACAATAAAATCAAATGTGAAATAAGAATTACAACAGAATTTATGTAAAATAAAATAAATAAATTAGAAAGTAAATTAAAAGCAGAATTAATATTTGCTAAAATTATAATCAATTTATTCGAGAATCCAGTTGTAGGCCATCGATAAAATAATTATAAATTACGTCCATGATAGAATGGCTGTCTCGGTTGCTGGGTTATTTATTTATAGCATTGGTAATAACTTGAAATCTTGTCAAGTTCTGGCCATACCCAAACGAATACTTTATTGAATTTATTGAATAAAATCTGTTAAATTATTGAATAAACGCCCAAGAAGTCTGTTTAAATTAGCTTTTTGATTGATAGCGGTGATTGATTGATGTATTTCATACCTGTAGCCCCTCGGCTAATAATACGGCGCCACGGGTACTAAAATGGTTCCAACTTAAATCAAGGATTTCCAGAGATTCGTTCTCCATTAAAGCTTCTTTGAAATATTTGGCACCATTTTCTTCAAAACGATTGTAACTGAGATGGAGTCGTTTAAGAGTGTGATTTTTCTGTAGAAAAAAAAATCCCTAATAAATAAATTGTAGAAAACAAATCGTTTCTCACCTTGGTATTATGATATCTACTGAAAAAGAAACGGTTTCGGACGAGTTATTTGCCCTAAGTTAGGAACCGGAATCAGACCAGTTGTTTGATAATCTCGCTTACATATATGGACGTAACGGACTTTAGACATATACTTAAAGGGGATGCTCGATTCACAGTCCAGAACGTCCCGAATTGACAGAATTGCAATCGAGTAACGCGGAATTCAGTTCTGTAACAGTTCTGTTAGTCCCGACAACGGAGGTGGTGTGAGTAGAATCGTGACGTAATTAAAAGGTTTCGGCTGCATGGTTGGTTGCGATATTAACTTATTCAGTCGACGCATGCGTTGTAGCCCGAAATCCACCTTTTTACTCAATTGTCACTATTTTTGGGATTGAAGGAATTCAATTCCGGAACGTTCAATCGAGTACCAACTAAGTCATAGTTTGATGTTATTTTTTAAATATTTTCCACGTTACAGGCGTCTGTGCTTGTCAACGATTGAGAACAATCGATTAAATCTAAATCTACAGACGTAAAATATAGAAAAATTAAAATCTCTCAAAACAAATCGGTCCGTCAAATTTAATTAAACCGGAAGTGATAACGATATTGAACGGTTATATCATAGGTCTCAGGAGTGTGATTCATTATGTACGAATTAGATAGAGAGTTGGGCGTTCTTGCTATAATAGTTCAAAAATAGATCATAAAAAATTAATATATTAAAAATTTCAATCAAACTACATTATTCTTGGTATAATAGTTCAAAAATAGATCATAGAAAAAGAATATATTGAAAATTTCAATCAGACTACTTTATTCTGACAAAGTTATTAGTGACAAAGTTTCGACAAACAATATACGATTTTCAAGCACCATGGTTATGGTGATAAATGAAGTTTCGTTTGTCAGTCCATTTAAAGAGTGACGCCCATTTAAACGTTAACCGATTATGTGGCACTGGCGCTCTAATCCATTCAATATCTCAGCCATCCGATGATTTACAAAATTGATCCCGTTTTGAACAGAGTCTCAGAAATAAAACTCCGTGTACGTATGAAATTTAAACGCCGAAAAAATTTCAGCTCAAAATAATGAAGCGTTTCGACGTGAACGTCAAAACTGCTTATCCGGACATCTAACCCTTTTAAGATTTCGGGTCAATTTTTTCGTTGGTTGACCTGATAAGCTATTGCCGTTCCTTTAGAGGTCTATACAGTGCATGGCCCACGTGCTGTACATGTACATGATAACGAAAGGTAAATTTCACATACACGTTACTTTTATAAAATAAAAGTCTTATTTTATCCAGACACCGTATAATACAGCTTGGGACACCGGTCTCAATTTCCAGATGAAGACTGACGGGTTTAAGTTGTTTGAAAACTTATCACCTATAATATATTGAGTTAGTTGCTCGGCCCTAAGATTTTAAGGGTCTTTAACACAAAATTAAGCAGTTTTATTCTCCAAAATATGATCGAGATTGGCCCTTTAACAAAAGACTTGCAATAGGCCGATTTAGCTCTTGTATAAGTAATCCTTAAGTATATCCAGTAAGCATACTTACTAATAATACTTCATGAAAACAGACAGCTGTCTTATCATCTATTCTATTACCTGTCATGGAAATAAATATACTGATTAAATACGTAAATACTTAACGAATATAATAGGTCTCCCTAGGAGTCCTTAATCTTATATTTCCAAATGTTTCTTGTTGGTTGATTCATTGCTTGAATGTGACAAGTAGTAATGTCACCGGTCCAACGTCGTGGGTTTTCTCAGGGTTCCCCAGTTTCCTCCAAATGCTAAAGATCCTTACACGCAAGCTAGCATAGAGAAATGACACAAACTAGGTCATTTTTGGGAGTAACACATGTTTGAATTTTATTTCAATAATTCGCTCCCGCGTAGAGGTTGAAATGAACATGAAATGAAATGGGGTTTAACGTCCTACTTTTCTGCTCCTAAACTGGGCTAATGAAGACGGGCATACGCCATACAGTGTGCTATGAGGGAAATTTTGCCCGGGCAGCGGCGCTACGACATACTCTTATATCGAATTCCAAGCCAATGTGTACACGGGACCTCGGTTTTTCATCTCATCCGAATGACTAGGCAGCTGTCCTTGTCAGGCCCTCCGTCCTGCATCACTGACAAGGGGAAACCACGCCGGAAAATCTGGATGAACTTTCTCGGCCAATGCAGGGATCGAACACCCGACCTCCAGGCTCAGCGAGCCAGCCTCCTACCCACTTAGCCACGTGATCCCCGCTAGAGGTTGAACAGACGACCCTACTCTATATGTCAGGTGCAGACAGGAAATCGAAATCACACCATGCCACTTGACTGAATGTGTTCCGTTAAAGTAAAGTATATATATTTATAGAACTACAATTACCTGTTAGGTCAACGTTAACTAATGTTTTATTTGATAACAGAAGATCACAGACTGCTTTAGCTCCCGCTGAACCGATTCTATTCTCAGCTAAAATCTGGATAAAATGGAACACAGACACAATGATAATATTGAAATTTTATCTATGGGGTAACTTTTATAGAAGAAATCTAAATATACACCGGTTGTCCCAAAAATTTGTCGCCAATGCAGCAATAAACCTAAGTTATAGGTGACATTTATCTGAAACGAAGCTCTGGGAATGGCAAGGGGGATAACTCTATTTGAGTTTGTCGACTTCTTGTGTTTATTGATTCTCTGACCTGTATCAATGAAATTACAAATAAAATTCCTAGAAATAATCAAAGTTTATAAACACATAGTTCACAGGAGTGGTAAAGAATGGCGAGAATTGTGTACAGTGACAATAAGAAATCGGTTCTAAAGTTCATAATATTCATTTATTCTCATAACAATATTTGCTGCTTACCAGATCCGTGATAAAGAAATTTTCTTTTAATACTCTCACTAAGAATAAAGCACCATCAGTATCAATACCATTACCAGATAAATTTAACGTTTCTATCTGGGTGTTCGTCTGCAAGACAAGGTGAATTAAATGAATTAGCATATTTCTCGTCTTAGGGGGTGGAGCGTAGATTGTATTCATATGTCAATGTGAACTCCAAACTGTAAACATAACGGTACCTTATTCCAGGTGATATTTCAGTGCCTTCAGGGGTATTGCTTTAAAGCAACCGATACTTCCTTTTGTGATCATAATTCATATTTATAAAGGGCGTGTAGTTCTTTGGAACCTTAAAGTAAGCGAAACTAGGTGATATTTCAGTGCCTTCAGGGATATTGCTTTAAAGAAACGGATACTGTATTTGATCATTATTCATATTTATATAGGGCGTGTAGTTCTTTGGAACCTTAAAGTAAGCAAAACTAGGTCTAAAGGCACATATTAATGTAATATGAGTGTATATAATCGATTATGTTCGGTAAAAACTATTTAAAATTGAACGGATGTCTTTTATGCCTGCTTAGTTCATTTTGAACGGTATTTTTTTTATTGTTATAATTTTGTCGTTTGTGAATCAGCCATTTTTAATTTTCTCCTGCGATCTGCTTTTTTTTTCAATTGTGTCCCTAGAGTACTCGAAGTCGTGATCTGATTTTAAAATGTTCATCATGTGTCAAACATGGAGTATTCCATATTTTCACTATAAGTAGCAACATCCATAATGATTGAAATATACGAAATAAATAATTTGCATACCTCTAACGGAATACATATAGCCTTTGTATTATCTTTACCAAGGCCATGGAACTTCATCACCATTTCTCTATCCTGTATATGTTTAAGGAAATAAGAAACAGGTGACACACCCATATCTTTACATACTTTAAGATATTTATTCTTGCCTGTCGTGTCGTGATCTCTTCTATCAGGATTCAACCAGCCTGAGAAATAATATTAAAACTGGATTATTTCTTTAGAATTAGTCTCTCTTTGGATGGTGTGGGGCGGGGCGGGGGGGGGGGGGGGTGACCCAGTGGTCTAACGCGCGTGCTTTAGATGGTAAGATTTGCCAGTAAGTGACGTGGCGTGGTTTCGATTCGAGACAAAAGTACGGTCGCCTGCCTAACCTCGTGGGTTTCTCTAGTACCCCCCCCCCCCCCCCCGGCCCTAACTGCTAAAGCTAATCATTGAAATATAATTGTACCATTATATTACTCCCGAAATCGCCTAGTTGGTGGTGAGTAGATGTTACCAAGCCCCCCCCCCCCTATTCCCTGTCTTTCTCTCTCTGTTTTTGTCTCCAACCACCCCTACCCCCCACCCCCCTCCCCCGCAAAAACACCCCCCCCCCCCAAAAAAAAAAATAAAAAAAATAAAAAAGAACAAAACAACCAAAGGCTATCAATATCCAGCTTAATAGGGCAAATATCTGTTGAGTTTTGATGCGTTCCTGTAGGATTTTGGTAAAATTTGTTTGGTCTAAAACCAATCAAATCATATCAATACCATTAAGAGGGTATGGTGTCGCATTTAATCTCGGAAAGTTTCGGCCAATTCGTTTTTGGATAAGGGCAGGGATAAACTCTCTCAGTAACAATGAAAAAAAACCCAAAACATTAACAATCATTAATCTTCAACAGTCAAACTCAAGCCTGTACATGAATGTTCGGCTAAACAGAAAGAAAGACCTTGACATGAATAAATAAGATTGTATCACTAACAATAATCTTTTAATCTATAACTAGTTGTATTATTCACAGATTATATCTGGGAGTGAGTTCACGTCTTGACGACCAATACTTAGGTCATATCGAGACAGCTGCCGATATTTTTTTATTTCTATGGACACATAAAGGGCGAGTTAAAGAGTTGGACGGGGCGGGTGCTCTTCTTTGAATACCCACTGTTTTGTAAGAGCCCGGCTTCAAAAATCTGAAAGTTTCTCACTCGATGAAAGAAAACCAGAGTTTTGTGTAGCTTGAAATCATTATTAGAACTCCGTCCTCCTAACGTTACAAAATGGTATCTAAAAATGCCATTCATCTTCGGACTGACATCCTTTTAGTAAATATCGCGGTTAGTTACGATTATTATTAACATATGTAGGGAAACAAGAGCCCCCCCCCCACCACTTCACCCTTGGACCCGCTCTTGCAGTGGCCTAATCACAAAACCGCCACAGCTCATCATTAAAATCAGGAAATTTATAGCATTAACGGTGCATTATGTAAGGGCTAAACCTGCCTATTGCATCATGTGAATAGATGTTTAAATAATAATTAATATAACATTTGAAGCCAACACACTTACACTATTTATGGAATAACAATTACTGGTTTATTAACAAAAAACGTTTCGAAGATGATACTCTCGTCTTTATCAACCAGTAATTGTTATTCCATAAATAGTGTTAGTGTGTTACTGTTCAACTAAATGCCACTTAAATTAAAAAAAAAAAACCTGCAATATGCAGATTTAGCTCCTACATAATACATCTTTAAGAAATATAGTTTTTCCAAACGCTGTGTTTGAAAAATGTAGAGACTTACAAGATTTAAGAAGTTTGTAGATGACCATAATATAATATATTTTAACTACATTCAAAGAATGGAATGGTTGGATGAAAATAACCCACATTGTCCTTTTTTAAGTAAATAAATTTGGAAAACAAAACAGTTTTAACATAAAGATAATTCTACACACATATTGCTGACTTATAGACCATAACTTTAAATAGAATTAGATTATCAACACATAAAAATAATGCCTACGTTAACATCTTTAGTAGTCTTTAAGAGAGCATCAAATCATATACTAGTATAATTGTGTGTTTGCTAAGAGTATTTGTTTTGATCTACTTGAAATATTTATGTCGGTAGTAAACCACTTAACTTGTATTTATTTTAAGATTACATTCTATTTATTTTGTAATTTTTGAAAGTAGTATCTTGTTATGTTTTAAATACATGTAAACTGTATTAAATTACAGAAAGGTATTTGATAATCATTTCAGACCGACATTCTCCATGATTACCGGCCATATAATCGTTTCAAGCCGATATAGCGAACATTGTCTAATCTACTCAATATCTAAGAACTCCGATTTGTCCCGAAAATCGATTATGGGCTGTCATGTAAAAAAATGTCTAAATAATGATTTATGTAACATTTGAAGCTAGAAAAGGCAAGTTTAGCTCTTTCATGATGCCTCTTTAAGGAAAAAGTTACATATCAACATCATTGGTTTTTTTTTTACCGTACATTAAAGTAATTTCAACCTATCCCACTGCTCTTTGTGTACAGATAGGAACATCTTTTATTCTAAGTGGTCAATGTAAGGCGAATGAAAGTGTTCTTATATGAAAGAACCCCCAAAGTTGCAGTACACATAATATAGTCTTATAGTAAAATACTCGATTTACTACTATACAAGATTTATGTTTGCTTTAGTTTGGTCAAAAACCAAGGACGCATTTGACTAAAGCGGATCTAGAGAAATCTTAATCTGGACTCAAGTTGAAAACTAGTTTATGCAAATTGATATCCCCCCCCCCTCGCGAAACTCCAGTACAGAACTGAGTAAAGCCAGAGATAAAGGAATCACGACTAAGATTCTAAGCAGCCCACCAGCCCCTAATAAGTCAGTCTTAAAGTAAAACTGTCATACGTCTTCCAAAATCTGCCTTTCACTCTTTAAAACAGCAATACATCACCTAAAGAGAAATTATAGTACACTTACGCTCCTCGTCAAATTCTAAGTCTGTTTCATAATCATCGTCATCAGATGAATCAAGAGAGTTCAAATCCACAGGATGGGACTTTAAATGTGGCGGTGTATCACAGTCCTTGAATTCTGAATCCGCGATCGATAAAACTAGTCCACCTTCGCCTCCTACGTGTAAATCTACGCGTCGTCCGCTATATAAATCCGATTCCTCGTCTTCCGATTCCTCATCGCGACCGCGTTCGTAAACACTTGATCCAGAATCATCTGGCACTTGCGTGATTAAAACTTCATTACTACCTAAAACATCGTCTATTTCCTGTATGGGCATCAGGTCTGTGGCGTAGGGGTTTCCTTTTGGCGTATTACGACATAAAGCTTGTGATTTGTCTGCGGTGCCGAAGTCCACTTGCGCCACAACGGACGTCATTTTGGCGGGTATTCTCTCATTTAATTACCTGAAATGTTAAATTAAAACAATTACATATACGTGAACTGAAATCACACAGAAATGGTATACCCAATCACCCAGCAGACAGACTGACAGGTATAGAACAGAATCAGATCCTTTACAAAAGTAATATAGAAACTAAACAAAACATTGTCACTGGCCATGTTGTACTACCAATTCCAGCGACATTAATTGATAGCTGTTCGAACTTTCTGATTTTGTAACACAATAAGTTGAGCAGGATCCATAATTTCGTTTCCAGTTTAAAAAATATAGAATCACACAACACTAGATCACATACATCTTTTAATTGTACAACGGGGAAATATCGACGAAAATTTTTTTCTTAGTTTCCGAACAACATTAGAAAATAATATACAGTCAGATTGATAGATACCATAATTGTATAAAATAATGTTTCGTAACAACCATCTTTTAATTGTACAATCGGAAAATATCAAGGAAGATATAAAAAATACTGCTTAATACTAACAAGTCTAGAAACATACACATCATACAATTAGACTTATTGCTGCCACAATTGTATAAAATAATCTTTGACACAACCATCTTTTAATTATACAATCGGAATATATCAAGTAAGATATTTAAGTTACTGTTTAATACTAACAAGTCTAGTAACATACACAGCATACAATTAGACTTGTAGCTACCACAATTGTATAAAATAATGTTTATGACACATGAAGGTAAAGACGTATTGTTTATCATAATCAAAACGGTTACCAATAAAGTTACGGTATTTCGACAAGTTAATATTATACCTGGGCTTACTGCCAATTGAGCAATTCAGGTGTAATAGTAGCAAAGTTATATGGCAGTTGTCACTAACGTTACAATATTAAGTAATCTTACCTAAATTTATAGTTGATTAAACAAGATCTTTAGAACTTATTTTAAATATAAGCCATAAAATTATAATCCACTACTTGTAAGCGGGAAAAGGTCTTAAAGCGGGTAATTTATAATCATTTGATATTTACACTCAGTACCTATATGCATATTGGAACTTAAATAATAATCGCTTGTGGTTCAATGCAATTCATTCGATAAAGCAGACACGTATGAACAAAATTCATTTACAAATTAATGAATGAATAAGGAGAAAGCAGGCAGCCTTGGTTTATATATTATTTATAAATTCATAAATATAATTATCATTATATTATTAACTGGAACAAACATAAATACATTTTATAATTGTTATACAGTGTGTATTAGATATTATGTTACTCTCCGACGTCAGTGGTGCAGAACGGAGGGCCTGACAAGGACAGCTGTTTAGTCCTTCGGATGAAACGATAAACCGAGGTCCCGTGTATACATTGGAATGCACGTAAAAGATCCCTTGTCAGTTGGAATTCGATATAAGATTAGGCGATAGTGCCGCTGCCCGGGCAAAATTGTCCTCATAGCACACAGTATAGCGTATGCCCGTCTTCATTAGTCCAGTATAGGCACAGAACAGTAGGACGTTAAACCCCATTTCATTTCATTTCATTTATTATGTTACTCGTAACCACATGACTAGATTCTTTGATACGAATGAAAGGGGAGTAAATTGTCAAAATAGGAAATTACTATGAGAGGGTTCAATTAATTGCTGAAAACATTATTAATATAGCCAAAGTACAAGTGTCGCCAATGATAGACACATAACGACTTTTATACCTCTATATTAAAAATAAATGAGAGATGATATCTGAATAGATCATTGCGTGCAAGTCCGTCATTACATTGACTATTACTTTTAATATACAACTGTATACATTCTCTTTTATAAAAGAGGGGGTGAGTGGGTGGTCGGCTGAATGGTTTAACGCGTGCACGTTAGATCATAAGGTCTGGCATTGAGTCAATGGCGCGGTTTCGATTGCCCGCTTGTATACGTGAAAAAGAGTAGAGACGCCTGTGGAACCTCGTGGGTTTTCTCCGGTATTCTCTAGAAAGCTAAAGACCCCTAAACGCCCAAGCGATTTATCAAGATCCAAATGAACCATATTTGAGTCCCGAAATGACCTAGTTTGTGTCATGTGGGTGTTAAACCCTGTTTGTCTGTCTGCCCCACTCTCTCTCTCTCCATAGCATGGCGTATATGTCTGTCTTCAACATGGTGACCAGAGGGATATTAATGTAATTATATCAACTCTGGAAAGATTGTCAGTACTTTATAATTTACATGCGTCGGTCTTGTAAATGTTCATATCCTACTTTTTCGAGCCCCTGGATCTTTAAATTGAGTGTGTGTGTGGGGGGGGGGGGGGGCTCCACCCCCTCCTAAATCCACGCCTGTAATCACCTGTTGTAGATATCATGGACCTTTAATTAGAAGGACTTATCGGACAGCTTGTTTATAATTACAGTTTTAGACACTCTACATGCATGATTAAGTTCGTGTCTCCCTGTAGGATAAACTATTTATTGTAATACTATATTCTACGTTTTATAATTATAAGATAAGTTTTAGTCGCCATAGTATATTGTAGTCAAATAATAACATATTATAAAACTTGATTAACCCAAACTGACCCGTAACTAACCCACCAACCCAGAAATATATACTTTAACATGGGAGACATAACTCGCAGTTAACTAGACACACCCATATTATACCAAAGCTATAAAAAATGCATATTATTTTACCATATTGCTAAGCTTCAATCAAAATACTTGTACTCAAATCTGAAAATCAAATATAAATATAATTCAAAACTCAAAAGTCGTCATACTTTAATTGGATATGACACTTGGTGTTCCTGAAAGAAAATGCACAGCCTCCCAAATAACGTGGGCGCAGGTAGAGACTAACCGCCATGATATGCAAAGCCCCAACCAACGTGCAAACATTTAAAGCTTACATGCAAGCAAGTTATAATGATTTACAAATTGTGAAACAAAAACTTACGGATGTGCGAGTTGTTTGTTGTATTATTTCATGGTCCGTCAAACGATATTTTATATTTGACCATTTTTAGTCTCTCTCTATTGTGTAAATGGCCAGATAAAACTATACCAACAAACGATTTATGGGTAAAATTAATTGGTTAATATTGGATCGATGGTAACATGTTCGTTGTATTAATTGTGTTCATTTTTATTCTAATTTAATAGCTTGAACATTCGTGTTATTGTCAAATCCTGGTCGGTAATTAGGATTCTTAAAAACAGGAATATTTGTCATAAGAAATATGGTTTTAAATTTAATACATTTTTCATTGTAGTAGCAAAGATTAATTCTAGTTTTGGCACAGGTAAGTTAAGAATACAAAAGTCGACCTAGATAATTTCGAAAAGCTATTTTTTTTTACATATTTACAATTCGTCTCCTCCAATACAACATCAGAATATGCTACCAATGATCCTGCTCATCATCCGTAGCATCATTCAATAGAAATTTGGGGCGACTCTTTCATAAAAATTGTTGTTGCTCTCTTTGATGTTTTGCTTCGAATTTTATAAAATCTAACGACTATTCCATATCTGAACTTGGCATCAGTTAATCATTTCGGAAATGCAGAGTTCATTTTAAAGCGTTGAGATCTCTATGCCACTGTATCGTGTTACAGCAACATACACGAGTCACATGCTCCCGTATCCTACAGAAAGTCAAATCTCCTGCTTAGCCAAATTCGAAATAGAGGTTGGACGCGGGAATATGGTTTATCACCAAAACAGAGCCTTTTGTGTTTTATCGTATTGTCATAGAATGAAACAATCACGTTTAAATAGTATTTGTAAAATGAGAACAAACTGTGAACACGTCAAGTTGGTTAAATGAAAGATTCCAATTCAGATTGAGTTATCAGACACATTGGTGTAGCGTCAGATAAAAGATATATATGGCTTAACGAAGACACGGTTTCCTTTGAAAACAGTCAAGTTGGAACCAAACAGAAGTACAATCGAAAAGCGACTGATACACCAGAAACCATAGCTACTGCCGCAATATTGCTGGCATGAGTTGTTAACAGTATATTGCGATACAGGTTCTTGTTCCATTAAACCATCGTAACAGCAGGACTAATCACATTTTAACCAATATGTCCTACTTTTCTCACCAACTAATGAAGATGGAGATATGCCACGCAGTTTGCTGTAAGGGAAATTTTGCCTGGATTCTTTTACGAACACGCCACTGTCCGATTCGAACGACTAGACACATGTGATCCGTCCTGCCCCGCTGACAGGGAACTGTCTCGACTGACAACGGAGTCAAACCCTCTTTGAAATGTAACAACGAACTCTTTTTGTTCCTATTCTTTTCATAAAGTTGGGTGGACAAAAGGTCTAATGCGTGTGCTTTATATCAAGGTCTGTCATTGAATCAAGTGGAGTGGCTTCGATCCATGCACATGTCCGTAACAAGGGGTATGGTCGCCCGCCTAACCCCATGGCTTTTCTCCGCACTCTCGGTTTTCTCCTCCCAATTGTAAAGTCCTCTCCGTTCAAACTTATTATTAAAGAAAAAATATTTGCCATTTAGTCTCGAGATGACACAGTATGTGTTGAATGGGCGTTAAACACATTTATGGGAATATATAAACTATCGTGTTAATAGAAAATTAGCTGAATCACTTTATTATATGAAATGAAAAGAAATGGGGTTTAACGTCCTACTGTTTTCCTCCTAATGGGCTACTGGAGACAGGCATACGCCATGTAGTGTGCTATGAGGGAAATTTTGCGCTATGATCTACTCTTATTTCGAATTTCATCTGTCAAGAGTTCTTTTTCGTGCACGCCAATGTGTACACGGGACGTCGGAATTTATTATATGAAACAATGCGTTACCGTCTTTAGAAATATATCCATTAAAAAAAAAATCAACATATCTATATGGGAATCTAAAAACTGCCGTGTTAAACACAAAAGGCAAAGTTTATATACGAAACAACACTATACCTTCTTTAGAAATATATCCATTAAAAAATTCAACACGTTTATTCCATATAAATATTAATAAGTAACAATATCATAATACCCTACACACATATTGTATAAGTAAAGATTGGTTGAACCTTCTCTATTTGATTGCTATTTAGATTATGATATTAATTCTCGGGTTAGCGTACCTACTCGCCTTAAAGATAGTCTTGATTATAAAGTAAACAATAAACGCTTCTTAGTGTACTATATTACAGTTATAAAAAGGTCTGGATGATTGATTGGTAATCATTGTTATATTATAGGTAAATAGATTGGTTATAGACAAGATTGTCAAGACGGTATGTAGAGATAAACTCAAGACATTCCAGTGGAAGATCAGAGACATACCATCGATATTGCCTTTATTCAATATTTTTTATGGTTATCTATTCTAAAATAGTTATAAAATAAAACTCAAATTTATATACACGTATCTTAATTTACGGAATGGCGGTATTATCTCTGAAGTTTTTATTCCCCCTGTTTAAGATGAATAGGGGGTGGAGGGGTTAAGATAGGAGGTAGATTAGTACATTTCTGATTTTTATAGCAGATGGAGGGGGGGCGTACATTTCTGATTTTTTTAGCGGCGGGGAGGGGGGGGGGGGCAATCGAATATTATTTAATGTTGTTCTGTCACCCTCTTTGTGCTTTTATTCCATTTTTGCAATCTTTTAACTTCATAAACAATCATCGTAACCTACATCTAAAATGATTTGAGCGTCTAGAAGAACGAGTCTAAGTAGAGATCATTACTGAAAGAAGTTGTGAATATATGGTTACCGTAAATCCGGGCTTATAATGAGGTAGAAGATTAACATAAGTCTTTTTATATATCTTTAATATACTGCAGATATTAGTATAATACACTGAAGTAACTAGTCATGTAATCTGACAACAGCAACGCTACTCTAAATACTCTTTACGGCTCTACTTTAATTTCTCTTTAACATACCCTCAGATTGTATACGTGAAAAGTCATAAACGGAAGAAGGGCCATCTATTGGCTTGTATGCTTTCCATTATTTTCTCTTTTATAAATTCTGTGGAAACTACAAACAAGAGGCAACCGATTGGTATTGTACTCACTCGTGCTTTATGAAAAACAATCGATACGAGTTAGAGCTGGGGGCTGGGTAGACGAATGGAAATTCAACTCGCGAGCTTTAGCTCATAAGGTCTGTCACCACTGCTAAAGACCCCAAGTAAATTATTGAAATAAATTTGAACAACGTGTTCGTCTCGAAATGACTTAGTTTTTGTGACGTTGACGGGGGGTTGGATGGCTGAATGGTTAGCGTGCGCGTGCTGTATCATAAAGTCTGTCATAGAGTCGACTGGCGTGGTTTCGAATCCCGGTTGTACGTGACAAGGAGTAGGGTCGCCTGTCCAACCTCGTGGGTTTTCTCCGGGTCCTCCGGTTTCCTCCCACTGCTAAAGACCCCTACGCGCAAGCGAATTATTGAAATAAAATTAAACCATATGTTAGTCCCAAAATGACCTAGTTTGTGTCGAGTGAACGTTAAACCCCATTTCTCTCTCTCTCTTGTGACGTCGACGGTATAGACCGGGACCCCAGGGGGCCAACCTAGCTGAAAAGTGTACAAATTTTTTCCTATATGTTATCAATGCATGTATATCTGGTATCATCAGAATGTAAGTCTGCCGGGTTTCCGTGGTGGGTGTGGTATTCCACGCTCAAAATGCCATGCACCCCAACTAGGCTAGATTAGCTCAAAAGTGTACCACATGAAAACCGCACAGCAGTGTACCGTACATCTTCAGGTGTTACAAAAACACTCTAACAGACATTTCTAGTGGTGGGTTACTCCTGACAGAGCTATGTAATTGTAAGACTTTTGTAAGACCACTGCCAGACCACTGCCAGACAGTTTGTGCGATGGGTTACCTCTAATAGACAGGCCCCAAAATGACACGCCCCCAACTAGGCTAGATTAGCGGGCACTGTTCCGGTGTTCTAAAAAAATTAATTTTTAGCCCGGATACGTAGAATACTAATATCTAGCACGTATGGAAGAGGCGATAAACTGCGGTTACAAGAAATTGATTTTCGGGCATAAAACGTTTTATGGGGCTAAAAAGGCGTTTTTGAAAAAAAAAAAAAAAAAAGTTCCTGAAACCGCAGAGTATCGCCCCTCTAATACGTGTTAGGTATTAGTATTTTACGCATCCTGGCTCAATTTTTAATTTTTGGACCACGGGAACAGTGCCGGTTAATGTATCGTAGTGGGGGGGGGGGCATTTTGGGCGTGTCTGTTAGGGGTAAGCCATCGCACAAACTGTCTGGCAGTGGTCTGGCAGTGGTCATTCATGATTCCTGTAGTGGTACCGAACAACTCCAAAGCTGTTTTAGGTGGTACAGATTTCAGCTAATCTAGCCTAGCTGCGGTCTGGAAATTAGAAAATTCTTGTCAGGGATACTCTACCACTACAAATGTTTGACAATTACATAGCTCTGTCAGGGGTAACCCACCACTAGAAATGTCTGTTAGAGTGTTTTTGTAACACCTGAAGATGTACGGTACACTTCTGTATGATTTTCATGTGGTACACTTTTGAGCTAATCTAGCCTAGTTGGGGGGCATGGCATTTTTGGCGTGGAATACTACACCCACCACCAGAAACCCGGCAGACTTACATTCTGATGATACCAGATACACATGCATTGATAGGAGAAAATTGGTACACTTTTCAGCTAGGTTAACGCCCTGGGCCCCCGCTCTAGTACTGACCCGTATTTGAATTTATTTGAATTTAGAGATTGACTGATAGAGAAGATAGAGAAAAAACTACGGTTCCAGTCAAATGGTTTTATCACGACTAAACTGGATGAATGCAAGGCCGTATTAACCTGTTGCTGAACTCATTTTTACGTACTTAAGGCCCGGATCCCACTACAGCTGACAACCCGACCCTGGTAGGCACTAGGCCGCAATACATAATCCAATATCCATTTTGCGGATCTCCTGAAAATTCTCCTCAAATATTTTGAAAAATTTTTTTATTGAACAGGTAGAATGCATCCGCTTTGACGTTTTTCACTTGATCTTTGAGACACAAGTTCGGTGGAAATTGTGACAAAACAAAATTTGCGACACCCCCCCCCCCCCCACCACCTGCCCTGCCTTTTAATGCTTGTTTGTATGTTGGGTGGTTGAGTGGTCTAATGCGTGCGCTTTAGATCATAAAATCTGTCATTGAGTCAAGTGCAGATGGTTCAAGCCCAAGCTTGTATGTGACAAGGCGAATGGTCGTCTGTCCAATCTCGTGGCTTTAAGCCGGGTCCTCCGTTTTCTCCCCACTGCCAAAAAACATGCGTGCAAGCTAATGATTGAAACAGGGGCGAAAATGTGGGGTGGGTCGCCACAGAGGAAAAAATAGTCGGTCGCAAAATAAGTGCAGTCGGTCGCAAAATTAAATGAATTAATGACGTAAACAAACAATGCCAAAATAGAAGAGAAAAATCCCAAAAAATGTATTTGCGTGAGTCCGTGCACCTAAATTGCATACGTCACGCTACTCACGCAAAACTATAGTATAAAATAAAATTGTCAAGTGTGTATAAATGTTTTTCACTCTTATTTTGTCGTGCGTATCTTGCCATGTTGGTCTAAGAAATGTTTTCCCTCCGAGGGAAAATTACTGCAGTCGGTCTCAGACTAAATGAATTAACGAGGTAATCAAACAATGCCAAAATAGAAGGAAAAATCCCAAATGCATGTATTTGTGTGAATCCGTGCACCTTAAATGCATCGGTATAGTATAAAATAACCTAGTCAACTTTTCATCTTCAAAAAAAAAAAAAAAAAAAAAAATCCCTGTTATGTCTTTGTTGGTCTAAGTAATTGAGAAAGCTTGTTACGAAGATTTTGATATTTCAAAATATATTCTTGATTGTCATACGAATAACATTGGTGGAACAGTTGGTAAGAAGTTATCGGAAGCATAGTTTTATCTTTTTGATTGGTAAAAGCGAAGGTGAGTTTGTTTCAGAAATACGTAAATATGCGGTTGCCAAGCAAGATACGCCAACATTTTGATTTTCAAGAAATTCAAACTCGATCATCATTATGGTGTAACGGTTATTTGAACGCTTTTTTTACATCAGATAAAAAATGTGACCTCTTGAGGGATAGCAAGCTAAAAACGCGATTTTTCGTACAATCAGGGCTCATAATCCAGGAAGTTACGGTTCGATATGTGCGAATATTGAAAGGAACCGAGATCTTTGGGTTATAAACTACATGAAAAGTTTCGTCAAAATCGAATAAAAATTGTGACTTCTAGAGGGTAGCCTACACGACCTTGGTATTACATACTTTTAGACTAATTGCGTACAAGTACTCAACCTTCGCCGAAGTGTAACGATGATATATTTAAACCGTAAACGGTTTATAAAAATTGAATACAAATTGTGACGTCTAAAGGGTTCACAAGCTAAAAACGTGATTTTTGGAACAAACATATTCCTGGAAGTTAAATTCCGATATGCGCGATTACCAAACAAAATTGTTATCTACGTCCCTGGATTGAAATGAAATTGATCCGGATTTTAGTCCCGAAATGACCAAGATGTGTATCGAGGGGATGTTAAGCTAATTCATCTAATTTGTAAAACAATTTAGCCTGTAGACGTTAGTTACGATTTATAAGATATATGGAAAATGCAAAAAAGAAAAAAAAGAATTATACTGGAGACAGGCGATTAGGGAAAGATATAAAGACAATAGCATGCAATAAAATGGGCAATTATTGCTTACTGTATTAAGTAACACTGTGCGAAATAGCACGAGATATCAAACATTTACTATTGGGTCAAATTTATTAATTGCGAGAATAATAAATATTTAGTATTAACTGAAATTCGCCCTACTACAATACCCTTGCACTAAAACTAGACGGAATACCCTCGTGTTGCTGGATAACCACGAATACAAAATAGCACTGGACAAACGAGACATAGATCAGATTTATAAATAGACGCAATATTGTAAGTCACGTGAAAGAAGCAAAATGGCCGGAGAGCTGAAGTCGGCATTGTTGTTGTCAATATTAACATTTTGTTTTGCGGAACAGGCTTTAAATATTACACCGCAACAAATCCACGTGGCTTTGGGAGGTATGTTATTAGTTATTTGTAATTATATTATTTCAACTCATACACGTTTAAACGACTGCTAGTTTACTACGATCAAGAAGTTACTGGGCTAGTATTGTGTTATGCTATTTTTAGAACAGGCTCGTCTTTCACTTTATATAATACACGCGCGTAAAAAAGCGATGGTCGTGATTTATTTATACATTATTTGCGCAGATGTTAAAATCGACAGGCTTATGTTTGATTAAATTAATTACAGTAGCATAATCAATGATTAAATGTATTATGCATGTGGTTAAATATGGAGTTAAAGACGTGAGTAGCCTATCTTATCTCTGAATCAAGTCGGTGAAGATTTCTTTTCCCTATGAACAATGGACGGTGACGAAGCTTGTCCTTACAAGGAAGTGACTGATGTAATTTACACCAGTCACTTCCTTGTAAGGACAAACTTTATGATTTATTTGCATATAGTCAATATAAAGGTCTGTCATTGAGCCAAGCGGTGTGGTTTCGATTCAATGCTTTGTGCGTGACAAGGAGTAGGAGCGACTTCCAACCTTGTGTGGTTTTCTCCGGGTCCCCCGGTTTCCTCCAACTGCTAAAGACACCTAAGCACAAGTGAATTATTGAAATAAACTTGCACCATGTGTTAGTCCTGAAATGACCTAGTTAGAGTCGAGTGGACGTTAAACCCCATTTTCCCCTGTCTCTATTCATATTATAGAACACGAAAATCCGTTTAATGTCATATATTTTAAGCTCTTCTCCTTAAAATGCCATTAAATATACAAATACATACCGAGGATTTTCACATGCGTTACTTTTCATTATGTATTCTAATATATTTCAATTTTCTTTATATAACTGTAGGGCAATCCGGTTTATATTAAGACATTAAAGACATAGTTTATTTTTGGATACAAAGTAAAATAGTGAATTCGTGACATACGTCAACCAAAGCCGATAGTGTTGCTTTAGTGAAATGTGGTGTAACACTTGTTACATAGATTACGCTTTTACTGTTGATAATCAGCGTATAGGTGACATGATCTGGTGATGCTGATATTAATATTAATACATGTACATGTTGGCAGGAACTTAAAAGAACCTGTGACAGAAGGAATACGAAATAAGTGGTCCTAGCGCCACTGCCACAGCATACTGCATTAACCCGGTTGACGAAGAAAAGTAGGAAGTTAAACCCCATTTCATCTCATTTATGTCTATGTTTTAATTATACAAAAATAAAGTTTGCATATTGTTTCGTGTCAAAGGCTGCTGTTTATCTCTTTGTTTTGACAAGCGTATCGCACAAACCGCCTTGGTAGGCTGATATAATTCTTTTCGAGACTTTGTCTAATGATCTAATGTCGATATTCATCTTGTAAAAATAATCAGGACTGTAATTACGTGTAGATAACGATTCGCGGTGAACATAATAACAGACCTGAGTTTTCGTTGCAGCCACGGAGATTCAGTGAGTAAGACCCTGGCTCGCTAACCTAGAGGTCCCTTGTTCGATCCCGGTGATGGCCGAAACGTTCATTGGGAATTTCCGGCGTGGTTCCCTCTTGTCAGTGGTGCACGATGGAGGGCCTAGCTAGAAAACTTATAGTGGTTCGTATTGGACAGAAAATCGAGGTCCCGTGTAAACATTGGCATGCACGTAAAAGAAACCCTGACATATTGAATTCGTTATAAGAGTAGGCTGCAGTACCGCCGTGGCACACTGCATGGCGTATGTCCATCTGCATAAGCCCAGTCTCTTCTTTATCTGAATTTCAACGCAGGAGAAAATAGTGAATAGATGTTCTTAATGTCCGTTATGTTTTCCTTACCTGTGAGTTCAGTAAGTTAGCCTTTGGTTAGGAAACATCAGTTTTCCCCATAAACACCTAAAAAAACTAGATATGGTCAAAACTTTGAGGAATAAATATAAGTATTATATTGTATCCTTTCAGTACCCTGTTTATAGTCCATATACATATATTGTGAATGTTTTACTAGAAGTTAAACTTGATAATGTTCACATATTTTACTGTGACTTGTTTCACAAGAAGTTAATACAGTGATGCTCGCCCAGTATACTGTTAAATGCTTCACACGAAGTTAAATTTAGTCCATTAATGGAATGTGTCACAGTAAGTTAAACTAATGATATTTACAGATTACACTGTTAATTTTTCACACAAAGTTAAACTAATAATATTAACAGATTACACTGTGAATTTTTCACACGAAGTTAAACTAACAATATTCACAGATCACACTGTAAATGTTTCACACTAAGTTAAACTAATAAAAATGTTTCTCAAGAAGTTACATTTAGCCCATTATATGAAATGTTTCACAAAAAGTTAATCTAACGATATTTACACATTAAAATTCTATCAAAATTTGTCGTATATTAGATGTAAGACAAAAACGATATCCGTGAAATTAATTTGATACACCCGAGGCTGTGATTTTGTTTTTGTCAACATGGCGCATGGTTGTGTGTTAATTCCAATGTAACCATTCTCCAGTTCATAGAAATTGGCTATAAATATTTAATTAATATCAGATTTCTATAGATCTGCTTATTGGTATAACGCTTATTGATTCCATACTTCTCCGACTCTCCAATATCAAATATAGGTTAAAGTTACATTTTCAAAAAACCTTGAATATTTAAAGACGCATTATGTAAGTGCTAACCTGCCTATTACGGGGATTTATTTTGGCTTAAATGTTAGATAAACTATATTATTTAGACATTTATTTACATGACAAGCTTATAATCAATTCTCTGGACCGTCGGATGACCGAGATTTAAATAGATTTAAAGTTACGCGAGATTTAAAGATTTCACCATGAATGGACAATCGAGGCTAAGTCGCGGCTGTCAAGTACCGTTGCGACGATAAACAACGATCAACGCTGTATCTTTAAACAGTCATAACTTCGCTCAGAATAAAGTAATTTCAGTGAAATTTCATTATATTCATTTTTCTATCTTTAATCTATTATAGCCGGATCGGCCAGCTCGTTATCTATATCGTACATAATGCATCTTTGATTAAATACTGTGTTGGAGAACTAGTTGTAGAATCTCAAATCTAATCTAACCGTAATAGAACAAATTATAGCAGATAACAAATGGGATCACAGAGTTATGTAATTTGAATTTGAACCAAATGATAATTATGTTACAATAGATGTGTGTTGATAATACGGTGCAATTCGTTTGATAACGAAAAAGGTCGAATAAACAGTTGAACGATTTATTAGATCTGATCTAATTTGGGGGGTTGGATGGCCGAATGGTTAGCACACGCGCGCTGTATCATACGGTCTGTCATTGTGTCAACTGGCGGGGTTTCGATTCCCTGGTTGTACGTGACAAGGAGTAGGGTCGCCTGTCCAACCTCGTGGGTTTTCTCCGGGTCCTCTGGTTTCCCCCCACTGCTAGATCCCTACGCGCAAGCGAATTATTGAAATAAAATTGAACCATGTGTTATTTCCGAAATGACCTAGTTTGTGTCGAGTGGACGTTAAATCCTCATTTCTCTCTCTCTCTCTCTCTGATCTAATTAGCATTAAAGTTACCCATTGTAGTTTATTTCTCGGCAATTTAATGATTAGTTGGCGTTGGTTCGGCGAACATGGCATTGATACATTAAACCCACCCTCATGTCAATGGCAGGGAAAAGCGTCTAGTCGTTCGGATTGTACGAAAAACCGAGGCAACAAGTTGAAGATCTTCGAACAGTTGCAAATCGAAAGAAGAAGTAGCGCCGGCTTTCAGGGCGAACTTTGACCCATTACACAACTTTATTAGTCCGTTGGAGCAGAGAAGTAATGCGTTAACTTAAACCCGTTTTATTTTATTTAACAGTCGACGGTGCAATATAGCCCAATTCTAATAATCTCTATTGAAGAATTCTTTAAAATATACGCGAAATATGAGCGTCAAATTTCCCGTGTATGCTTACTTGATCTAGAAAACATAGTTGATACCACTTATCATTTGGGGATTTCACATAGCTAACAAACTGGGGGGTAAGGGGCAGGTGGTGTGGTGGTGTCTAACTGTGAATCATAAGGCCTGTAATCATGGGTTCGATCACGGTTGTGTGCGTGACAAGAAATAAGGTCAAGTGCTTTATCTTGACATTATTTACTGGGTTCTAATGTTTCATCCTACTTATGGAGAACCATAATTATCTTAATCACAATTTTCCTCTTTTTATTGTTATAAGTTTGAATATAAATTAGAACATTATACCCAAGGCTAAAATGAAAAAAAAAAAAAAAAAAAAAATACCCGCGTTTACGGTTACCCGACCGGCTCTAGTTTTGGAGCCAAAATCGCCGAGCCTAAACTTCTCTCTCTCTCACTTCCCAGGCTCTATATCGATATTGGCGTTATTTTCTGTGGACAAATTCCAACACTTAACTTTCGGTAATATTTTCAAGAACCTTACTCAGTAATCAACCTAGAAATGCTAGTAAATAGATTGTACAAACCCTACGACAAAAAAGATGTTCCGACCGACCGACCGACCGTATTATTTGTGTGTCCAGTAACCGTAAGCACAAGTATTTTTTCTTGGCCTAACTAATTGATATCTTTTGCCGATATCATCATTCATTACGCCACGTGTATCTTATTCTATCTTTTCAGTAACGATTGATAAAATATCCATTACATGGAGTACCAGGAACAAGACGGATACTTCTCTTGTATTATTCGGTATTAAAGATTTGACCAATTCCACACAAGGAACATCAAAGATTTTTGTCGATGTTTCAAAAACCAATGTACAGTATCTTCATTATGTCTTACTCTCTGGGTTGATTCCAGGACAAAAATATAGTAAGTTTTATGTTCAACATGCTTGCATCTTATTTTTAATATTTGTCTTCCAGGGGTTAATATATCATTTGAATCAGGATATTTAGCTGTGCTATGTTGTACCTTTCTTTTAAAACGAAAGCAGACTTATTTTGGGGACCGTGTCACAAAGGGTGCTCAAAGTTAATGAAATATATGATTATTATTATGTAGCACTTCTGTAAAAATAAATGGCCCAACGACAGTGAACTTGCCACTTATTGTGGGTACCGTGTCACAAAGGGTGCTTAAAGTTAATGAAATATATGTTTATTATTATGTAGCACTTCTATAAAAAAAAATGGTCCAATCGGAAATAAGCCTAGGCACCCTGGGTCAAGAAGAACCTATAAGGGATGTTTCCTACCCGGTCGCCAATTTGTCTGCCAAATCGTTTTGCTGGGAGGAAAAACAGAGTCAACCAGTGTAAACATTGGCGTACACGTAAACGAACCCTTACACATCTAAACATGGAAATATGAATTAACATATGTTTATCTCGACTTAACTGAAGCATGGAAATATAAATTAACATATGTTTATCTCTACTTAACTGAAGCATGGAAATATAAATTAACATATGTTTATCTCGACTTAACTGAAGCATTGTTTTGGCGAGATATTGGGCCCAACCATCTCGATCCCTATTCTATCTCATCTCGTATTAAGGTTAGCGTAAACACGGTTGGGTTTCTACAAAAGCTAATGTACATTTCCACATATTTTGTTTCCTTGCGTTATGTATAATTTAGATACAAGGCCGACAGTTTTGGCTATAATAGTTTTAAACAAAAGTAATGAAAAGGGAATATGTTGAAAATTTCAGTCGAATTACTTCATTCTGTACGGAGTTATCATCGATTGTAAAACAGCGTAGGCCACGATTGTAATTGCTACCGTTGCTACGATTACGATAATAAACAAAGTCTTGATTTTCCATTTCTAAATTAAATCATAAAATCGTATTTAAATATATTAAAAATCTAGAACATCCGATGACATCGTGAGTTCATTGTGGTCTTGGCAAGTTAATAAATGTCCAATTAATAATTTGTATGACATTTAAGGCCTAAAGAAAGACTTGCAATAGGCAGATTTAGCTCTTAAATAATGCATCATTAATTTTAAATATTTTAATATGTCGTCTGTCCACATTTTCATTAATTACAGGCTATGTATGTGGTACTAAAGGAGCTCTCAGTGATACGTTTACGTTTACTACATTAAAAGAAGGCAGTAACTGGTCACCACGTTTTGTGTTTTATGGTGATTTGGGATTTAAGAATGCTCAGTCGGTACCAAGATTAGATAATGATATTCAAAAAGGATTGTACGATGTCGCTCTACATGTCGGTATGTATAAAAACAAATTGTTTTGATTATTTTCTTCATTTTTTTTTAAATAAACAAACATTTGATTTTCACGGTTTGGACTGCTTTATTTACAAAGTCTTTATGCAAAAAGGATTGTACGGTGTCACACTGCATGTCGGTATGTTTAAAAAAAAATTGGTCGGAGGAATATTTTCTTTCTTTTTTTAAAAAATAGATAAACGCTTGATTTCCAATGTATAGGACAGCTTTATTCGAGACCTGGGCCCGATTCCTAGAAAATTCTTAAGCACGTTCTTGTGCTTAGATTTAAGTAGACTTTGCATTTAAGTAAACTTACCTTATTTTGTGTTCCCAGAAAATTCTTAAGAACTTTCTTGTGCTTAGATTTTAAGTAGACTTCATTGTAAGCACAAGAACGTTATTATGCGTTCCAAGAAAAAACTTAAGCACAACTTCGTTCTTAAACATAGTCAATCTAAGCACAAGTCCCAAGCAAAGTATACGGCTTGCTTACCAACCTTAAGTCTGTTTCTACTTCAAAAAGATGGCTGACCGTAGAGTTTTTCGACGGCATTTCCGACAACTTTTGATACCAAAGAGACAATTACAAGACAGAGAAAATCCTTCTCCAGAAGAAATTAAGAATACTATAGAAAATTTCGCTTCTGCCCTGAAACCATTTTATTTATTTGTCAATTAGTAAACAATAGGCTACAAACACACGGACTACTTAAGATCAGGCGCTCTCACAATTATTCAGTTAGTTTGTATGTGTCTGCGGTTTTTTTTTATCTTGTGGCACATTTTATATGTGTATCGGGGACATGTCAAATGCATCTAAATCAACCATATATATCATGACGTCAATGAAGCAGACGACAAATTTATGACGTAATTCGCATACCAAAGTTGTTTTTTTGACGTTAAAGAGCATCGTAATCTCAGTTTATGGTAAACTTTACCAGTCACAATGTGCTTAGACTTATACTTGACTTGTGCTTACGTAAGAATGGTCTTGAGAATTTTCTAGGGACGGTATTTTTATAAGTTTCTCACGTAAGAAAAAGTGAAGCATGACTTTGTGCTTACTTTAAGAATTTTCTAAGAACCGGGCCCTGGGCCCGATTCCTAGAAAATTCTTAAGCACGTTCGTGTGCTTAGATTTTAAGTAGACTTTGCATTTAAGTAAACTTATCTTATTTTCTGTTTCCAGAAAATTCTTAAGAACGTTCTTGTGCTTAGATTTTAAGTAGACTTTAGTGTAAGCACAAGCACGTTATTACGTGTTCCAAGAAAAAACTTAAGCACAACTTCGTTCTTAAACATTGTCATCTAAGCACAAGTCCCAAGCAAGGTATACGGCTTGCTTACCAACCTTAAGCCTGTTTCTGCTTCAAAAAAGATGGCTGACTGTAGAGTTATTCGACGGCATTTCCTACATCTTTTGATGCCAAAGAGCCAATTGAAAGACAAGAGAAAATCCATTAGAAACATATTCTCGAAGAATGCTATAGAAAATTTAGCTTCTGGTACCCTGAAACCATTTTATTTATTTACAAATTAGTAAACAACACAAACAGGCGCTCTCACAATTATTCCGTGTGTTTGCATGTGCTTGCGGTTTTTGTGGCACATTCTATAATGGGGGACATGTCGAATGCATCTAAATCGACTATTTGACGGGAAGTTAATGCCATTGATCTTTATAATTCTATGCAGCTGACCAATTTATGACGTAATTCGCATACCAAATTGTTTTTACGACGTTAGAGAGCATCGTAGTCCCAGTTTACCAGTCACAATGTGCTTAGACTCGTACTTGTCTTGTGCTTACGTAAGAACGATCTTGAGAATTTTCTAGAGACGGTATTTTATAAAGTTTCTTACGTAAGCAAAAGTGAAGCATGACTTTGTGCTTACTTTTAAGAATTTTCTAGGAACCGGGCTCTGGCCCCGAGTTCACAAAGCATAAGTTAAGAATTTACTCAAATTCGCTTGCCTTATTTTAACTAAAATATAGCCCTTCACAAAGCATAAGTTAAGAATTTACTCAAATTCGCTTGCCTTATTTTAACTAAAATATAGCCCTTTATAAAACTTTTGTTGTTTTAATGTGTCAAATACATCATTAAGGGACTACATTATGTGCAAAGTTTTGTGCTTCTTGATCAAATATATTTCTCATAAACAGTGATTGAAAGTTGAGTAAATCCTTAACTTAAATCTGAGAATGCTTGGTGAACTCGGGTCCTGGACGTTAAACCCCATTTCATTTGCAGACCTTCATCAGGGTGATGAAGTTTACAATGTTTATATCTTAGCTATGGTAACTAAGTTATGATTTAAACATCACAATCCCATTATAATTACTATGACGTCATAAGGCAATGTTATAAATATTGATTATCTTGTCTACGATATCACCTATGGTGGAAGTGGACGTAAAACTTTAGGAACGAACGAACGAATATTGATTATCGATTAATTGCTTCGCATTTTCGTTGTTATCCAGACGAAAATTCGAGGACATTTCGGTCGTCACCATTAGATTTCAAACCATATTTTACAAATATAACATTGCATGCTTTGTGTTTCAGGTGATTTTGCCTATGATATGTATTCGGTAAGTTTAAGTAAATGGCTTCAATATCGAATTTAATTGGTAGTAGCATTAAATCATGTGCCTTTTTTGAATATTTCATATTTAATGGGGGCCGGGATGATTTGATTTGTTATCACGCGTGTTAGCATTAAATAGTTCAAATAATCAATATTACTATTAATGGTTTTAAAAATTTAAACCACTTTATGAATATCAAAATCTATGTCTGTCGATATTTTAGGCCAACGGAACGATGGGGGACAACTTTTTTAACATTATCCAACCAGTAGCAGCTAATTTACCTTATATGACTTGCCCTGGTAATCACGAAAACAATCAGTAAGTGAATAGTATATTATATATCTTAAGTAAGTGAACATCATATCTAACTTAATTTAGATCACTCGATGTCTAAGTACGTAAACAGTATTATTATGTGTAGCTGAAAAATGGCTATACTGTGCCGATAGTGCGTGAAATCTTCTATTGTTTTGCACTCGTTATACTATACGTATTTCTTATCTCTGGAATTGTCAAGAACCACCAAAGTTGTGGCCTTGACACAGGAAAGGTTACACCCAGAGCAGGGGAAATTTTTTATCTAACACGCGGTCTTCGTGAGAACCTTCTTTACATATATGTAGACACCAACACAGTTAATAATTAATAATAGTTTATATTCAGCAATATAATGATTACAAAAGTTAATATTGAAGTATATAAAGTTCTATATATAGTCTATATTTTGATGATAATAATCATAAGTCAGAAGATATAAAGCTCACTTAATTGCTTGAAAACTATTCACCCACACGATGAATGTCTCATTGCAAAATGAATTAAAGTCACTTACTAATATGAAACACAACACACAATTCATAACATGAAATTATTCACTTATCACTAAATCCCTAATACACGCATTAGAGTCACTTTTGTTCATACTAATTTAAAATCACTAAAATAAAAAACACATAATGTATACACGGTGAAAAGACAATATGCCTTCCACGCTAATCGACACCACGGTGGTCACGCTTTCACTGCCAGAATTCCCGCCACACCAGCGGTTTATATATTACCTCATGAATATTAAGTGAAATTATATACTCATGTACTCGGACAATTTAGACACTAAACAAATTTGAACATTACAAGTATATTAAAGCTAAGTAAGTGAACAGTGTATTAGGTCTTAGTAAGTAAACATATAAGATCTAAGTAAGTCAACAGTGTATTAGGTCTTAGTAAGTAAACATTTTAGAGCTAAGCAAGTCAACATTGTATTAGGTCTTAGTAAGTAAACATATTAGAGCTAAGTAAGTGAACAGTGTATTAGGTCTTAGTAAGCATTATATTAGATCTAAGTAAGTCAACAGTGTATTAGGTCTTAGTAAGTAAACATATTAGAGCAAAGTAAGTAAACAGTGTATTAGGTCTTAGTAAGTAAGCATTATATTAGATTTAAGTAAATCAACAGTGTATTAGGTCTAATTAAGTAAACATTTTATTAGATCTAATTAAGTAAACATTTTATTAGATATAAGTAAGTAAACATTATATTAGATATAAGTAAGTAAACAGTGTATTAAGTAAACATTATATTAGATCTAAGTAAGTAAACAGTATATTATATCTTAGTAGTGTTCACTGTGTGTTACGTGAAATCCATATCCAAGCCATCTCTTCAGTTAGGTATATTGACGTGTGTTGTAAACAAGTTAAAGTTAATGCATACTCTTTCTAAAACATTAAATGCCACTTCATATTAATTCAGTTATGACATCATAACCACTAATATCTTGTTATCTGTGCTGTTATCAACATGCTAGTTTTTCATCGGCTCGTTAACTTTGTATGCCAATTAATTGAATGCATCTTTTTCTAGAACACCAGATGTCAATTAATTTTTTTTTTTCATTTTTATAGTAATTTTACACAATATAAGAACCGACTGTTTATGCCAGGTGATGAACAGGGAGATCGTATGTATTACAGGTTAGTTGTTTTGAAGAAATATAAAGAACACCAAGTACCACTTCCCACGGCGTGCTCATCAGGAAGCTTAGGGGCAGGTTAGCTTTGGCATACAGGGCTTCTGATGGATGTTTTTTTATACTATAAGGCCTGTCCTTGAGTTTGGCCATATGCTTGAATGTGACCAGGAGTAGGGCCCGGGTTACATGCTTAACCTTTTGAGTTGGTCTGCGCCCCTACTGGTAACACAGATACATTGATATGACTAAATGATTGATAGTATTCCCTTATTTCTTTCTCTGAGATCTGGGGAGGAACCGTGTCGGCCGAAAAGGTTCATCGGGATTTTTCGGTGTGCCCTCCATACCTCACCTGTCAATGGTTCAGGGCGGAGAGCCTGGGAAAGGACAATGTATAGTTGTTCGGATTGGACGAAAACCCGTGTTCCCGTGTATATATTGGTGTGCAAATAAAAAAATTCTTTGACAGTTGGAATTCGATATAAGAGTAGGTCGTAGTACCGCTGTCCGGGCAAAATTTCCTCGGAGTAGAAAAGTATGCGTTAAACCCCATTTCATTTCATTTCTGTGAGATTTATAAATTATCCGATTATCAAAGCTCCCCGAATCATGTTGTGTGCTAGGTCATACTTATCTATAACTTGCCGATGTAAATAATTTATTTCTTTGTTTTAATTTATATTGCAGTTTTAATGTAGGACCAGTTCATGTAATATCATTTAGTACAGAGTTTTATTTCTTCATACAATATGGTCTATTACAAGTACCTCGTATGTACGATTGGCTAGAAAATGATCTTAAAGTAAGTAATCTATACATTTCTTGACATTTTACTATAAAGTAAGGTATGCATATAGGTTACACAAGAAAGGGGTATGTTACAATGACAATGAAATGAAATGGGGTTGAGCATCTTTCTGCCCGTCGGGCTAATGAAGACACCACAATGGCGTTAGAGATTTGGTGTACTATTTTTGTAGCCAGTATTGACATATGTTTGGAAAGATTTATTAAAAATACAAAAATGTTGGAAAATAATTTTAGTTACCTAAATGTAATGATTTGTTACTTATATGGACTGATTTGCTGCTTATATGGACTGATTTGTTACTTATATGGAATGATTTGTTACTTATATGCAATGGTTTGTTACCTAAGGATTTGTTACCTATAAGTAAGGTGTTGTTACCTATATAAGGATTTGTAACATCATGGTGATGCGTGGAATAGAATGTCCATTGTCCTGACATGTCTACTGCAAAACATTCGGAGAACACTGCCAAATTATCAGACATATGTATATGGTAACATATTGAAGACGATCACTCCTGGACAAACAAATGAAATTGATGGGTTTTTTTTAATTTCATAATGTAACAGTACATTATATTTATTACAGGTAGCCAATTTACCTGAGAATCGGGCGAAACAACCATGGATTATTACAATGGGTCATCGACCTATGTACTGTTCTAATAACGATAGTGATGATTGTACAAAATACGAAGGCATAGTAAGTTGATATGTTCAGACATCTTTATTTGAATATATTTCAGTATTGTCTATACTTGTTCACATTGTCGAAACAATGCCCCGAGTAGTGTCTCTTTCTCTTTTCGTGTGGCGAAGTTTCGGTATAATTCAAGCCCGAAGCTGACTTGAAAATTGTATCTAGTTGTTCGGATGATACAAAAAACCGCGTAATTCTCGCACTGAACACGCATATAACCATAGAAATGAAAGATACCATATGTTAGTCTAAAATGAACGAATTAATGTCTTGACAAGGTGTTAAACCCCCACCTCATTCCATTAATATGTCCTTCGCAGGGAATTAAGAGAAAATGATATAATGATAGTTGCTATATTTCATTGCTTTTAAAACAATCTTATAAAGCCCACAAATACCAACCCTTCCTTCAGTAAGTCGCGTGGACGAGTGCGCTTTTGATCAAAAGGTCTGGCATTATGGCGTGGTTTCGATTCCCCGCTTGTACGTGGACACAAAGTAATGTCGCCTGCTTAACCTCGTGTGGTTACTCAATTACCCTAACTAACCCACCCGCCCAGCCATCGACCCTTATTGACATGAAGACCTATGTTATATTTGCACCAGAATTTCGTTTAAAGGTTTCATTATATTATAAATTCAGATAAGATTAGGGGTACCTATACTCCACCTGTATGGTTTAGAGAAGCTATTCTATGATTACGGTGTAGACCTTCAGCTCTGGGCACATGAACATTCTTATGAACGACTCTGGCCGGTTTACGATCGAAAGGTGAGTAATGTTTAATACAGCTGTTTGAATTAGCAAGTAAATGTGAAATGATATTGGGTGTTTAAGGGAAAAAATTATACACACCTCGTGCACAACACCTATCATCTAGGAAAAACTCACAAAATGGTTTTCAAAGAATTGAGGCAAGCAGTTGTCGGGTCCAGATTGCATTTGCACAGTCAATGAATGAAGGTATATGGTTTATGGACAAGGAATTGATCCCCAATACACGCTCATCTAATATTGTTCCTGGGAGCGACATCTTTCGATAAAATGAATGAATGAATTAAATGAGGTTTAACCTTTTCGAAAAAAGCCTAAGATCCCACCCATTCAAGTAGGATTGACATTACAGGTTTTTGGTCAATTGCGCACCGATGGAATGCTGAGAAGGTGTTGTAATAGAAGGGTACATTGTGGGATGTTTTAAAGAAAAGGGGCATAAACACACACTCTAAATAATACTAGTACTACAATTTACCTTCATTCCCTTTACTTTGAGGATCAATCCATTATAAAGACAATTGCAAGTTTAATTAAATGACATTCTGGCCCGAACCATTACCGTGATAGTCAATCAAATGTTTAAGATACTCATTCCCTAAAACGGGGTGGAGTGGAGTCTGTTTTTTGTTTTTGTGACATTTTAAATCATTTCAAGGAATCTTTATGTCCCAGAGTTTAGAATCTTCGTATAGAACTTGTAAACAAGAGGTTCCAGAACTGTTATTAATATTTCCTTACAGGTATATAATGGTAGTTATGATCATCCTTACACCAATCCAAAGGCACCTGTACATATCATCACTGGATCAGCGGTAAATTTATTGTCTTATCCATTTGATGTGCTTCTCGTTGATATTACAATAAGGAATACCAATATACAACTTACATCTTAAAATAATATATCACTGTGTCCTTTGTAAATTGGTTTAAACCAGGTCCAGAGGTTGGTCTTCTGCCTTGGTCGCCATTCGATCTGTAGGTTTTATAGATCAACTTCTCAACAAAACAAATATAAAACAATAATTGTCAGTGAAGACGAGCAGAAAACTAGTTCTTCATATTATAAAGTGGTCAGAGGCAGAAGCTGTTGTTGCTCTGAATAGTCTTCTACTCCTCGGAAATTGTCATCAGGGTGTACCCCAAGGCCATGTCCTTGACCCAATTCTTTTCAACCTAATCAGAAAAAGGCAAATCGTGTGTCGTTTGGTGAAAAAGCCTTTTAAGTTGCTTCATCTAAACTATGGAATAAACGTCCTTATATTATTCGTAGCAAGGTGTCCTTACTCGTGTTTAAGAGTGAACTTAAAACATTTCTGTTTGACAAAGTTTTTAACTAGCTCCTAATATTGTCTGTTTTATATAGATTTTAGATCAGATTTATTCAATATTTTATATTTTATCTTTTGTTGTTTTAATTTCTGTAGTTTATCACACCATTCTGTGCTTATATATAGATGTGTATATTTTATAAGACTTAGACTGTAAAACACGTCTGAACACTGTTGTCTGAGTGGCATAGTAGAAATGCTCCCGCTACAAAAAGGGGTCGCCCTAATAAAAGAACAAACCTGCCTACTTAACAAACTGTACTTAACAAAAACAATAGGGCTCCCGCTTTCTATAGCGGGTCGCCCTAATAATAATATTAAAAACTGTGTAGGAATATGTAACTGCATAGCGCTAATATAACACAGTGTAGACAATAGTATATAATATATGGCTGTAGGTACAACTAAGTACGATACTATCTGTAATATTTGTTTTCTTTTAACTCTTTTCACTTTTTCATAAACTTTTATTCAAACTAATCGTAACAGGGTTGCCAAGAGGATATAACTCCATTTGATAAAGAAAAGCCTTATTGGTCAGCTAAACGTGTAGCAGATTATGGCTACTCAAGAATGACTGTCCATAATATTTCGCACTTATACCTCGAACAATTGTCAGATACGAAGGTTAGTTTCTTAATCACAACAAATATATTTTACAGGGATGCCAAGAAAATTTAGACCCTTTTGATAAGGATCGACCATATTGGTCGGCTAAACGTGTTAAAGATTATGGTTATACCAGAATGACTGTGTTCAATTCAACCCACCTGTATACGGAACAACTTTCAGATGATAAGGTTGGCGATTGTGTAATTACTGAATCAAAATAAAAAGAGGGCATTGTATGTAAAAACCCTACAGTATTTATGTTTTATTAAGTCGATCTGACAAGGGCGTGCGTTACCCTGGTGTAAGTAGAGCGCGGGGTGATTTGGTGGTGACGCCACTCTAACGCAGCGTAAGACCTACGCAACATGTACGTAAGATGACGCAACAATAGCGCCACCCCTGCGTCGCCGCAAGTGATTTTGACCGTCAGTATCTGCAAAAGGGCAAAAGCCATATGAAGCGCGGTAGCTGATGCGTCATGTCTTACAACGCTGGCACTGAATTACTCATACAAATATAAATATTAAAATATTTCTATGGCGGTACTATTTTCGTCATCTTTGTTGTTTTTATGATTTTGGCAACATTTTCAAAACACGACGGGGCACCATGCGGTTAATGATTTAGGCCAACTAACTACTGACATGCGCTTTTGGCTACCTTAGTTTCACACACCGCTCATTGACATACACAAATATCTACGCTAGGTGATGCAAGATAGTGACTCACAGCTGTGAAACAGCCTTACGTCAAAGCATTCAGTGTTTGATTGCCAGAAATCCGAATCTTGGATTATTACAGGTTTACAATCAGAAAATGGATATTTGAATCCGTCTATTGCTTTGGATCATACTTAATCCTGCCTACAACCTAAAGGTCATAGTCATATCCCCTGTCCCTCATTCGTATGTTCATTCACCAATCGTCCGTCAATGTCATTGGTATGTTTATTCACCCATCGACGGACAATCCTATCGTAACGCATCGCACGACAGTAGGAATCAATCAATGTTTAACAGATTATTGGCGTTTTGGACCAGGAACGGTTAGCAAGGTTCTCTGAAAAAAAGGCTCCGGTCAATTCAAGTATGATCGACTCTCCAATTACGAATTTTTCATATGGCGTCACAATCTCAAGATGGCGACGATGACGTTATGTTCTGTTCCTGAGACCAGTAAGGTTTGAAATTGATGAACTAACTGTGTAATACGACTTTCCATTTCAGTGATGATGTTGATCATAATGAATGGATCATTTTTTTTTTTCTTTCAGGGTGGTATGATAATGGATAAAATGTGGCTGATTAAAGACAAACATGGACCATATACCAACTAGTATAAAAGTTAATCAAAAAATAATTATTTATGAATAATAATAATAAAAGGAAAATAACTCTGTCAGGTATTATGTTGAAATGCTTTGTTTTAAGAAATAGTTAGTTATATTACTGGATGTAAATTTTTAAAAATATTTTTGTGAAAAAGATAATATATATTTTTTTAAAAAAGATGATATTTTGTTTTTAAAAAAGATAATAAATTTGTTGAAAAAGATAATACATTTTTTAAGAAAAGGATAATACATTTTAAAAAAGATGGATAATACATTTTTTTAAAAAAAAAGAAGGATAATACATTTTTAAAAAAAAAAGATAATACATTTTAAAAAAAAGAAATTAGATATAACATTTATTAAAATACATTTTTAAACTGCTTACTTTATGAAATATGTCAAATATAAGATTTGATGATACTTTCTTGTATATTTCTGTACGTATTTGTAAGCCATCACTAATTTTATTCTGTTTAAAAAATTATGAAATGATCTTATATCTTAACGATGTATTTATTTGTTTAACATATGATGAAATGATTTTATATGCAAAAGGTGTAAATATTTTAAAACAATAATATTTTAATTAATATGATAGATCTATGATGGTTTGCAATGTCTGTGATGTCCATTTAGTTCTTTTATGTACATTGTATTGTTATTGTGTGAAGTGTCTTTACTAGTCAACATGACTAGTTGACTAGATGATATTAGTATTAATGTAAATGTATTTTTTGGATCCTGGGGTAAATGTTATTGATTAAAATGTACAACTTAAAAAGAATTTTTCAGACGATTAAAATTGATAAATAACTTTGTTGTTTTCGCTTAATTCAACATATATTTGGATTAAGTTAGGTAGTTGTTTCCCCTTATTTAATAGATGACATAGTATTCTCTCACTCTTCTGCCGGCAACTTCCCTATTCTGGACTCAAGCGCTACCCAACTTGTTGTTGCTTTTCCTGTTCTTTTTGCGAGCGACGCTTGAATTAGAAGAGAGGTGTTCGAATTTTCATATCTGATCTGTTTCAGTGAACAACAGTGATCTTGGTGCGGGATTATTAGGAGGTAAAAAGACAAATCATTTTAAAGAAGGGAGGTTGGGTGACCGAATGGTTAACGCGTGTGCATTTGATCATAAGGTCTGTCATTCTGTCAAGTGGCGTGGTTTCGATTTCCCAGCTTTTAGGTTTTCTCCGGGTACTCCGGTTCCTCCAACTGCTAAAAACCGATACGTGCTAACGAAATACCGTTGAAATAAAATTGAATAAAATTAAACCATATGTTAGTCCCGAAATGACCCCCATATATAATGTGCTTATAATCTATTTCATCCTAATACTTAATACTTATCGAATGATACTTAATGCCTCGAGATATCGTCTCTTGTTTAACGACCGTAATCAAGTCTTCTGATTGGTGATACATATGGTGTTCAGCTGTGTCTTTATTTACTGATGGTATTTGGACTGATGATAATTACTAAAGGCATATACTAATATTACTATTACTATTTTACAAACATTTACCAAATGCACAATAACTTACCACTTCGGATGCCTTTTATTTCTCATTTTAGGTCTTATACTTTTGACGTTCTTCTCTATCCACAACTCGATAATCGTTTCGCTAACAATAACTCACTGGCCATACATCCAATATAACCTTTTGATTAATTAATTGGGAGTAAAAATATCTTTCTTTCTGACTTATACCAGTGTATAATTTATAAGTATAATTTTTAAATAATGTATTCATATTTATTTGAATGATTTCTTACATAAACACGTGCTTGATTTGCTCAATGGTTAATCCAGGACTTCTTGATACGGGAAATAACTCAAAATTATTATGACAAAGATATTTTGTCTCTGCTGGCCAATCATAGCAAACGGTCAGTGAGAGAGCCCGATTACGGTCAACCTTTGTCATGAACCCAGTTGTACGTATGTTGAATCTCCGGTTTTAAAGACTCTAATCAATAAAACATTGATAAAAATCTTGTGTTGGATCTCAACACATGGACTTGTGTTAAAACGATTCTACTCAAGCTTGTGTTGTTGTGCATTGCATTAAAATAAACTTGTGTAGATTTATACAATCTTGTGTTTTTTTCATACAATTAACACATGTAATGTGTATCGTCAACATTGTTTTTTTTCCGAATTCGTTTTCCACAGGTTTAAGAACCAATGGGATGGTAACTATGAAGAACCATTTCCATTCATTCTTTCATGGGTTGAGTGATGGAGGGGGGGGGGGTGTTGGGGGATTGACGAGGCATACAAATGCTGTAAAGTGACCTCTTTGGGAGGTGGTCATAAGGGACATAAGCCAAAACGGCAAATAATCACTGCCAAATAGATCATAGTTTGGTCAAAACTGCCAAAAATATTAGTAATTGCAAAAACATTTAAATTACACAACATTTGTTTTTCTTCGATAAAAATACCAACTGAGCTGTTTATGATTTGATAAAATAACAATTGACCCATAACCATTTTGAACTTGGTTTCAACTAATCAAAACAATGAATTAATAGGCTGAATTCGAACCCCGGAAAATACATACTGTTCTTCACAGGAAGGGTGTGAGTACTAATTATCAACTGATTGGTTAAGCCACAAACACAAGAATTCATGATCAGCTAAAACTTGTAAAATAATAGAAGCCTTGAAACGGTCACAGAAATCATGGTAGACTAAACAATATTCCATTATTAATTACGTGTATGTTTAATCCATTACCGGACAAAATTTCCCCCATACCACACTATGGCGTTAGCCCGTCGTCTTTAATCCAGTCGGTGCAGAAGATTAGAACGTTAAACGCCATTTCATTCCATCTTAATCCATTGTTAATTTCTTATATGTTGTCAGCTATAAAATAGAATAATAACCACTGAAGACAAAAATAAAATCTTACAGTACCATTAATTTTGGGATATAATTATATTATTTAAGAGAAACAGTATTCCCAGTCATTAAAACCACATTCATATAAAGGGGTCAATATCTTGCATAAATAAAAACTAAATTATTTCCATTGTTTCAAATGAATAGCTGTAGAAATCAAAATTATTGCTCCTTAAATAAACTCCATGCTTTATGTAATTAATATATTACGCATTTACTTTGTGGTCCCTTATACAAATTTGACAAAATTAAAACCTTGAGCTTAATAATTTGGGCTCTCCAAACGTTACGCGTCTCCCATAAGCATATATACATTTATTAGGTATTGTTTGTATTCAGGGCAAACTGAAAGATTGGTGTTCAGTTTAAAATAAAGTACAATCTACATTACTACCGCATTATATATAACAGTAAACTAAAAAAAAGAGGTCAAATTATGAACAACGTAATTATTGGTTCTTTTTCTTTAATTTATATATATGCCTTAGTAACGTAACAATATATTGTTATAGTAAAATACATTGTTAAAAGATGTCTGTAGTTAAAATGTCTGTAAGTTCCTGATTTTTATTGGCCCAATAATCTCATAGATCAAGGGAATACATAATGTCCATGTGAATTTTAGCACATGGGTGTTTTTAAAAGTTGACTGAATTTAATTAATTGATAAAATCAAAATTGGACATTATTGGTTAACTGAAAAATAAAAAAATCAGATTTAATTACTCTTACATAAATTAGAAAATAATATTAGATGTATCTCATAATCGATTTATTGTTTAGACACCTTATATTGTTTTCCAAGTTTACTATATGATATTTTTGTGTGGCAAATTCTTCCTTGGATTATTATATTAGATACCCTGAAACTAGTAGGCTACATTTAGAGTGAAGTTAGCATCAACAGCGTCCTGACATTGTTTTTGAGCAGTGACACATTCGAAAAATAAAATGGACACAGAAAATACAAAACCGCAGGTTTGTAAATATTTACATAATTCATGCCATTTATTTATAACATTTAATTTAGCATCGATATTGTTTCTATGTTTATTAATAATTCATTCCGTTTAAAACCAGCTACGACCTCGTATTCACCGGAAGTGAGTATTTCTAATATGGCCGACTAGGAGAAATATACGGTATGTTATAGGATAACCGTTAGTATCAAAGTATTTCGCAAGAATTTGAAGATCCAGTATTGTGCATGTTATAAAGCCTTCCAGTAATTCAAGCATCTTTTTCACTGAAATTTAATTATCATTAGTTGTTCAAATGCTTAGAATTACCAGAAACCCTACAGCTCGGGTCAGTAGGTAAACAATATGTCATGGTCATTTTACTTGTAACGGCGCGATCTTTGTTTTAGGAATTTTCCTTAGACATTCTGGCAGAAATATAAATTAACCCAGGCATGAAACAGATAATAACTTTTTGCACTTTTGTGTTAGTTGTTTTGTTGAAATGAAACCTAAATTCCTTAACCTCCCCCCCCCCCCCACAAAATAAGCAGTTAAACGATGAAATATAAATGTAAGTTTTTGATTTCTAAAAGAAATTTTATCATTATATGACGCAACCTCCTATGAAACGATTTTGGGATGAAACGACCTACTACCGTAAAAAATAGAGTTATCTTTCTTGCTTTCATCTTCCATTTGTTTCCGGGTTAAAGATAGGTTGCCAGGCAACGAAACATACGCCCACACCAGAGTTGTCGCATATTTTATCTTTTATCGGTAATGAAACATCATATACAATTATCCTATAGACATTTATTTGGTTTCCAACCCGTAGGGAAAATTTGAAAAAATAAAACTATTATGCCTTTATGGTCGAATAGGCTGAACTGACGCTGCGATATGAGGAATGCAGCTTGGAATCTTATTTGTTAACCATTTAGGATATTGGATCTACAAACATCGTCACTGGGAGAATGAAATACTATTGGAAGTTTCTCTGTTGTGCTTCCGTATTTGTCTCTATTTTAGGGACCGACTGACCTATGTCTGGCAATTCCTTGATAAGAAGTTGACGTTGTTCTATAACCGTTCAGCAGATGTTCTGTTCACATCCGAGTTGGATTGTGTGTTTGGTCATAAACAGGTAAATTTTTAATATTCTTAATATTTCTTTCTAATATAAAATAATAAGATGTGCTATCTGTGATTCCTTCAAAAAATAGACAGCTTAAATACGCCTTTGTCTTTGTTATCTTATTGATTACTGACTTTGATTTACATCTGGATTTTCAATTTCTAACAGCGTCTAAAACTCAAATAAAAACAGTGGTCATAAGTATGCTATCTAAACTCACTTTTTATCTGACATATACTATTCAAAAAAAGTAGGGGATATTTGATTTTGGGGGCATAATACTAAAATATGCAAATGACTACGAAAAACTCACTATAGAACCTAACAGAAGAAACATTTCCAGTTACATGTGACGCCCAAACGCACCAATAGCTACCGCATGGAATGCAGGTGATGCTTGGGATCATCATGGGGGTCCAACCCAAGATTTGCACGACTCTGACTTTGAATGTTACAGTCATTGTGGCATTGAATTCCAGGGTGGAAACATCAGTTTAATTGTTTTAGTGACCAGAAAACAAATTTTGATATGCGTCGGCTTACCCAAAATGAAAGGTTACGTGCCCTTGGCATGCTACAGATCGGCCTACACAGGCGGTTGTGGCGCGGACGATGAATGTTTCTCAGTCTGTCATAAGCAGGCTATGGTCCAGATACCGTGATACACAATCTGTACAGGACAGACCACGCTCAGGTCGACCAAGGGCGACAACTCAAGCCCAGGATCGATTTATCCGTACCTTGGCCTTGAGAAATCGTGTCATCACAGCAAATCAGATCAGCGCTCGTCTTCAAACAGACACTGGTGTGAGAGTGAGTGGCCAGACGATTCGGAATCGACTGCATAGGGGTCACCTTCGCGCCCGACGTCCTCGCGTGATCCCTTGTTTGAGAGATCATCACATTCAGGCAAGACGTCGTTGGTGTAGGGATCGTCAACACTGGGATAATCGACGCTGGAGCAATGTGATGTTTTCAGATGAGTCAAGGTTCACTGTTGATTTTTTGGACAGACGTAGGAGGGTGTAGCGTCGTCGAAACGAGCGCTTCCAAGACGTTAACGTCATCAGACATGATCGATTTGGGGGTGGTTCTGTTATGGTGTGGGGAGGCATCACTGTTGCTGGAAGAACGGCTTTACATGTTGTTGCAGGGCGTGTTACAGGCCAGTACTACCGGGACAACATCTTGGCAGTCCATGTTGTGCCGTTCGCACGACGTCATGGCCGCCGTTTCATCTTCCAGGATGACAACGCAAGATGTCACAGGGCCAGGATCGTTACAGGTTACCTCCAACAACAGAACATCACCACATTACCTTGGCCAGCACTGAGTCCCGACAGAGGTTACGTCAACGTCAACAACGTCCTGCCAATGTCCAAGAACTTGCTGCTGCGTTGCAACAGGAATGGGACAATCTGGACCAAAATGACCTTAGACGTCTCATTAGGAGTATGCCACGTCGGATCAATGCTTGTTTGGCAAACAGAGGAGGATTTACCCGTTACTGACTTGGTTGTGATGCTGTGGTAACTTTGCTGTTTGACCCCGGGTATCATTGTACCCTTATAATGGTCAGTCTGTGCCTTACTTAGTCTAACGATCATTTGGAATAAATCGATGAATGTGAACTTCATTTCATTTTGTCATTTGTTTCTTCGTCAGTTTCATTAGGTGACTTTAATAACACTTAAAAATCAAATATCCCCTACTTTTTTTGAATAGTATATATATATTTATATATGTATAGTATCTGAGAATGAATTTAAGGAACACATCATTGAGGCCAGAATATTTTCGCCAATAAAACAGATATATTTAATTAACATCATGTTCTTCTTCTAATGGGGTCTTTACGTACACCTAGTGTGATATCTCCTAGGACACTTGCCAGTCGTGAATGAGCACCTAGCCCAGCATAGGGTGAGTAGGAAAGTTAATCGCCTCCATTTTCATAGTTAAAACGGAATCGTGCTTTTGATATACATTATCCAACGGTACTGTTAATATCCATTCCTATTTGATTCCGAAGCTGTTGCTCCTAATTACAAGTAAGTGGAGAATAGCCCAACCAGGACAGCTTTAGAACATATAATGTAATTTATTTTGGAATTGGTCACAAACAGATCCGTCCCTTTGTGTAACAGGTAGAAAATAAACGTACCGTTTTCTCTTTAGTTATGTCTTAAAGAGGTCAATGACGTCAACTGATGCATGTAATGTAATAACTATTCCGTCTGTGGGACTCATCATATAGGTAGTTAAAAAAATAATGTTCCGGTAGTGTTGGCAGTTCAGTCCCCGTTGTTGACCGAGAAGATTCCTCGGATTTTCCAGTTTGGTTTCCCTTTGCCACTGTGGCATGGAATAGGGCGAGAAACTGCGATCCTGGACTTGTTGATGTTGACAGTTGGCATCCTACGATAAGTAAATATGCACGTAGCAAATTTCCCAATAAGCGGGAGACACACCATGCGAATCATTCGACCGAAAAAATCGCCGCCGAAATTCGCATAGTGATGCCGAATTTGGGTTTGCCCGAATGATTCTCCTGGTGTGTCCGCTCCGCCGAAGAATTCATTAGCCCATCATTGATGTCGAGAAAGTCACATGATGTTTTGAAAATAAAAAGGCGACTATCACGGATTCTTAACCGCCAGGGTCTTCCTCGGTCAATTCTCGAACGAGATTGTTACCCCCCCCCCCCACTTCTTTCTACGCCGATGCATACGGCGTAAAATTTAAAAAAAAAAAAAATCCACAGATGCAGCTGCCATGATTAATCAATCATATCACGCGAAAGGTGATGTAATCGACTAGTGAATCGGGCGGAGAATTCACCTAGTGTGTCCACTCAATCGGCCGAATGAATTCGACTGAAATTGGGTGCCAATTGTTTCGGCCGAATGAATCGGGAATAAATTCAACCGGTGTGTCTGCCCATTTAGCATAATGGCATAATTGCATGCCCATCGTCATTAGCCGGATTGGTGCAGTACGTAAGGCGTTAAACCCCATTAAATTTCAAAAGATGGTCCGTATTTCTACTAAATCTGGGTAACCATAGTGTGGCAAGTTCTGTTTTCCATAAATTACTTCCACTTGTTTGAAGGTTGTAAGGAACAAAGAAGATGGAGGTTAGTTATCTGGGTATTGTTCTGTGTATTTTAATGGCGGTTAGAGGTGACGTAGTACTAGAAGAGAGAGGTTATTTAAAGCTACCAGATAGAAACAGTAATTATAGATATGACAGTGGTACAGCCAAGGAAAGCGCCTTCGATCAACAGAGGAAATTATTATATGTTGTTGGTAAGTTCTATTTCCAACGTGATTTCCCAATGTCGGTAGTTCAGAACAAAGGGACTAGCAATGACAGCATCTCTACTCATTCAGATGGGACGAAAACCAAGATCCCATATATACGTTGGCACGCACGTAAAAGAACCCTTGACAGTTGGAATTCGACATAAGAGTAGGCACACTGATCAGCAGTGAATATATTAGAAGACTTTCGTAATACTCTGTGAAACAGATTGAAGAGTAGGCCGCAGCGCCGCTGTCTGGGCTATGGAACGAAACCGAAGAAAATTTCGAGGCTTTGGCGCGTTTTCTCTAAAATTTGCTGAAATTCGGTTTCCGATAGACAACTCATACTGTGCACCTTCGATACGCTTTGAAAACTGGTATATTTATCATTCTATAGTCGATAAAACAAACCTGGAGCTGCGGGAGTCTCCCTTTAAGGACATTATCGCTTTCAGAATATGACCGTGTATAAGTTTCGTGTGTATCTTTTCAGGTGAAGACACTCAGATGCTTCACGTGCTCAATCTAAATGATGTGGATAATATTGAGAGCGTATTAAATCACAACTTCGACCCTGCTATTGATGGCGCTCCATTAGATGTTGAGCTATGTGTTACACCTCTAGATACCGTGGTCGCCATATCCTTTGAGAGTACCGCGAATCCCCAAGCTGAAGGACATGTTGTACTGTACGAGCCAGTTACAATTGGAAGTGCTGTGTTGACACCAAAAAACCCGACGGATCCAAGAATAACAGGTATACCGTAACTCTCAATAATTTATTCCAAACACCAATACTTGTCTTACACATAAGCAGTGTGCACACTTCAGTTTGAGTAGTTGCCATTTGTAATGAATAAAGAAAACATATGACTAATTACTAATCGTTGATTCACAAACGACAAAATAATAATAATGAAAACGTACAGAACGAGTAAATGGCCGTCGTTCAATTTGGACTGTTCACGTATTTCAACGAACATAACTGATTAGAAATTACAATAACAGATTTGCAAATTGAATGTAAATCACTTTATATACTCTCTTATTCCAAAGAATAGAGTTATACGCCCTTTAAACTCTAAAATGTAATATGTTATTGTAGTTGGTGCCCACCCTGAAAATATCAAGTTTACTTCTGATTGTACAAGATTACTAGTATCAAATGAAGGAAGTCCTGGTCTAGTGGACGGCGAGTTTATCGATCCTCCTGGTGGCGTCTCGGTCATCAGCTTGTTTGGTAGTACACCATCAATAACTACAGTAACATTTGTCAGTGTGGATCAGCCTTCGGAAAGAGAGTAAGCATTGTGTTTAATTATTGCGCCACGAAATTATTGCGAAACAACCAGCATAAGGGTGTGACCATTCTTCAAACACTCTAGTTTATGTCGGTGATAATTTCATTTTCTATTTACATCACATAACCTCTTGAGTCTATCATTTAACTATCTTATAATTGTATGTGTGGATCAGCTTTCTGAAAGCTCTGAAACAGAGTAAGCATGTGTAAAATTATTGCGCCTTGAATTATTGCGAACCATCCATAATAAGGATATTGCCATCCTTCACTCATTTTATGTGCAGAAAACTAGGACGTTAAACCCCATTTATTTTATAAATCACATGATTTTGTTAATTATGTCCCTATAACATGTTTTTGTTAATATGGTGTAATTGTCTGAATGTAAATTTGTAAACACAATATTGTTGTAAATATGTATTCTATAAAAAAGACATACTAAGGGATGAACAGTACTTGATTTATTTAGGCGAGGTTTCCAAGAATATAAATTAAGTAATTGTTCTTCTGTAAGTATGTGTTATGATTTATTGCCCTGACCAGTTACTAAATGCCCGTAAAGTATTAGTACTATAGAATATTAGTTTGGTTAATAATAAGGGCAGCATCATTTTAAATTAAGCGAACATTATACAGATTGGATGAACGTGAAAAAATTCTAACAGATTATTCCTCTATTATAACCGTACTTGGCTTTGATAACTTCTGGGTTTACTTCCATCTTTTAAGTTCATATTTTCTCTGCATTTTCTAGTCGGCTATTGGGATTAGGGGTACGCTGGCAAATTCGGACAAATCCTACCACTGGTGAAGTCAATCCCTTTTCACACAACATAGAACCGGAATACATTACTATATCACCAAATAATGGATATGCATACGTTACACTTCAGGTAAGGCACGAACTATGCATTTTAAGTGATATGTATTACGAGGGACTCACTGACCAGGAGATCCCCGGTTCGATCCCTGTAGAGGTGGTAAAAGTTTCTTGGGATTTTCCAGTCCGGGTTCGCTCCCTGGGTAGGCCATAAAAGTTCCTTGGAGTTCCAGTTTCGGCGAGTTTGGCGTTGGCTAACTGACGTGGGTAGGTGGTAAAAGTTCCTTGGGAGTTCCAGTCTTCAAAACATTTAATAGATGTGCCCTGTTGTATAAAATAATTCAATCAGGAAATATTCTGGTTTCATAATGGGACCCCAAAAGCTAATTTTATAGCAACTGCCATACATCAAATGCTGGGCAATCCATACAAAACCTAAGTCTCTGTCTATAATAGACCCTTAAACAAGTTATTTAATTCTCTTTAATAAAGATGGGAACTTGTATTTTTAGGAAAATAATGCCGTAGCTCGAATTGATTTAGAAAATTACTATGTGGCCAACATATATCCAATGGGTGAAAAAGAATGGAAATATTCTTATCTTGATGCCAGTGATCGAGATTCGGGTAATTATTTCCTTATTAGAAATCAGTGTTTTGTTTATTTATTCGAGGTTATAATATTAAGTCGCAATGAGGAAAATTTGAAAACTGAGTTATTGTTATTTTCACATTCTCCGACTCATTACCTTCAATTTGATGTATAGTTTGTTTGAATCGGGTGAAAATTGACTGAGTTGTGACTGCTTAAAGCCACTCAACTCACCAAAGTAAGTTTTGAGAAAAATCAAGTTAAAGATTCGGTATGTTTCAAAACAAAATCCCATAGCAACCAAACCATTTATTTGCTGTTTTGTCGTTGAATATTGTTTTCTAGAGGTTTTCAGGGGTGCTGAAGACGAAAATTGTAGTAACAATTTGACAGTATAACAGTAAATCAGATAATACCCGCCATTTTGTTTTTCATAATGGCGACCAAAATGATAATCGTAGTAGTAAAATTAATCCGTCAATATCAACCATTTTGTTTTATCAAAATGGCGACCAAAATGACAATTCTGATTTTCACCGTATATTTGTAACCGTGTCATTTTATATGTTTTATTAGGCATAAAGGTTGTAGCATCAGGGGTCGACTGGACTGTATCCTCCATCTTGTTTTTCAAAATGGCCACCAAAATGGCAATTATTGAAGTTCTTATACTTGGTACTCGTGTAATATATCATTTTAGAGGTTTTCGGGGGTGCTGAATACGAAAAACATGGTGTTGGGTCGATGCAACGAATATTTATCATTTTACATATTCGATGATTTTATTGTCACCCATCAGTTATGGTCACACCTTGCAGGCTAGAGTATACCAATGAAACGACGGTATTCAACACCTTATGCTATCAAGTATAAGAAAAGAGAACAGTTTTCAAAAGACAACAGTATGCTAAAAACTCTCATAAATTTAATAAAATAATTATAGTAACAAATTGTATTATAATGCATCACAAATTACTAGTATTTTTTTTAATAAAATATAATAACAAATGGAATAATAATAGCACTCGAAATAGGATGATTTGTGAAAGAAACGTAACTCAAGCACTGGAAATGTGGCCATTTAGATGAGCCAGTTCATTTTGCTACGATACGGTGGGATGCGGAATCATTTAGCTATTGGGTGTTTTATATGATTACTAATTTAATGTTCCGCTGGTGGTGGAACAATATCACTGTTCGTGGTTTGACCGCGATTGCCGAGTTCTAATTAAAAGAGTTGGTACTAGGCCTTATGATCAAAGATACATTATTAACATGGTTTTACTATACACCTTAACTGAAACTAGTTCCATTGTATATACTATGAAGTTTTCGTATGGCACGGTTACGATGCCAGTGTATAGAAAGCTGTAAACAAACGCTATTTACAGTGGATATAATTGCATTACGAGAATTTGATTTATTAATTCATCGGGCATGGGTGACTGTTAACGTTCGAGAATGGAAAAGGGCGAGCTCTCAGTTGCAAATGCATTGAATGCACTGACATCTGCAGTTTTTAGAAAAAAACAAGTTAAAGGTGTCGGTATGTTCTAAAACAATATCACACAGCAACCATGCCATTAAATCTTTCGTTATTTTGTCGTTTAATATTAATATTATCTTCTTTAGGTTTTCAAGGGTGCCGATAACGAAAATCGTAGTAAATGCGCTCTTTTCATAGTAAAACATCCACAACACATGCGGCATATTCACATTTCCTATGATAGCGTTATAATTTAGAACAGTGTATACATTAGTAGTCTAAGTATGTATATTATAACTTTGGTGAGATTAACTTCAGTTCAGTTAATCTCATCAATTATTTAGCACCTTGGTGCCAGTGGTCAGAAGATTAAAGTTGTTGATTGGGTAATCAAGTTTAGTAGCCTATCTTAATCATCAAAGAAGCCGCCACAGCAGCATGCCGGAATTAAGATTTTGCGTGTACAATAAGTCTATTGTTATTTTAAGCCTGAGGTACCGTAACGGTATCAAAATATGAGTCCATAATAGAATAGAAATCTCAATTTCATTGGCATGAAATGCTTACGTTCATTTTGGAAGCGGTGTAATTAAACAATGGCAGATTATTTTTCCCACTCGATAATCGTCGCGTTTCGACTCATTGGTCGTTCTCATTTTCCCGACCCATGGTGATAATATAATTTTAAACAATAATAATATTCAATATGCATTCTTAACTTTGCATGCCGTATGAAGCGACAGTAAACGGAATTCACCTATCAATAAAATTCTCTTCGGAAAGAAAATTATTGGCTATTTTGTTTATTTCCATTTAAGGACTATAAATTATTTTCTAACAGACCAAACGAGACATTAAATCGTCGCCGCTTTGATTAGTTATTCGGAGTAAATAATGAATTGTCGGTGGCCTTATCATTGTTAATTATCAATCAACTAATCATTAATCCGTGAGAAGTGATTACAGATTAGTATGATTAGTATTACTCAATGATACGAACGGCTTGTTGATTGATTTACAATGTTTTGATTAACACTCAACGGCTATCTATATACGATCAGAATTAAGTTGTTGGTATCCGAGGAGCTTTTTATTTTGTGTTTTTAACAGTTTTCAAGCGTAAATAATTTAATTAAATCAACCTGTCCATAATATCATATTCATTGTATTGAACGTTAAATCTTTAATAAACAACAACAACATTTGTTTTCTGCCACTTCTCAGAGTGAATCACATGTAGATACACCATAACATTGCCCAAATCTAATTTCTATCGTCTGCTTGAGCCTCGATCGGCCACGGAACCACAATGCTTTGCAGGCGTCGTTTGGGCCAATCAGCAAACGAGTCGTGTTGGAAGCATAGCAACAAGCGGAGTATGTTTACATTTTTAGGAGTTTTAAAACCCTTTTGTATTTCTTCAAAATAAATTTATCGGCAATACTTTGGTCATATTTATCAACTAGAGATTCTACGCTTTACAACGATGCCAAGCATTTTGCAAGAGGATTGACAGGTCGCCACGCTGCGAGCAGAGAAAAATATCTAATTCCGCTGAGAATATTCAGAAAAAGACAGATTTAAGAATACGGTACTCTTACAAAACATCCAAATAATAGCGTTTTAAAATGTTTTATTGCTATTTTGATCTTTTGAGTCGATAGATAGTATATTTATAGACTCATTTTTGTGAAAATCTCAATTTCGATCAAAATCAATATTTTCACTTATTTTGTCTCTTGTGCAAAATTAATTTTACCGCATTCCGACTCAATAACATGCGGTGGGTCACATATATCAAAACCAATAAATATTGTTGATGTTCTAGAAGAGAGTTGATGAATCGAGTGCTAGTAATTAGGCTTATTATGTTTTTTTTTATAAACAACTAGAAAGCCACGGTGGCTCGGTGCGTAAGGGGCTGGCTCACTAACCAGGAGGTCCAGAGTTCGATCCCGGTGTTGACCGAGAAAGTTCATGTTAGTTTTCCCTTCTCAGTGATGTAGAACTGAAAATGGGATAGGTTTAGAATCTCAGAAATGAAATAGGGTTTAACGTCCTACTTTTCTACTCTGACTGGGCTTATAAAGTCGGGCATACGCCATGCAGTGGTCTATGAAGGAAATTTTGCGTCGCAAAAGAATCATTTAAAACAGTTGAAATTTACTAGTCTGGCAAAATTACCCTCATAGCACGCCGCATGGTTTATATGTCTGTCTTTATTAGACCGGTTGGTTGGTGTGCCGACAAGCGGAAGGATAAACCCCCCATGTAATATCCGTTTATTAACAGTAATACTAAATATTAAACATTATTGTATACTGTTTATTTTGTTTTTAAATATCAATGTTGTACAGCTGTTTTAATGAAGAAACATGATATCAAAAGTTTTTATCAACCTGGAAAAATAAGTTTTTTTGAATGGAAGAGCAAGTTGTATTTAGTGACGGCTGATGAGGGAGCACCAATAAATATACCAGATTTACCGTTTACAGATTATGACAGAGCTTTAAGTCTACATACAAGTAAGTACATTTTGATAGAGATAGTGATCGACACACAAGTAATCTACTAGAAATCTACTTAGAAGTAATTAGATTTGTGCTGATTGCGACAGGGCTAGTAGTCTGCACGCCATCTACTGGATCTTTTTACTGATTATGTCAGCAAGTAATCTACACATTATCAAGTATATTTGTTACTGATTATGTTAGGTAGTGATCTACACATTATCAAGTATATTTGTTACTATTATGTTAGGTAGTGATCTACACATTATCAAGTACATTTGTTACTGATTATGTTAGCTAGTGACCTACACATTAAGTAAATTTCTCGCTGATTATGTCAGCCAGTGATCTACACATTATCAAGTACATTTCTTACAGATTAGACCAGCTAGTGAACTACACATTGTCAAGTACATTTGTTACTGATTATGCAAGCTAGTGATCTACACATTATCAAGTACATTTGTTACTGATTATGTTAGGTAGTGATCTACACATTGTCAAGTACATTTGTTACTGATTATGCAAGCTAGTGATCTACACATTATCAAGTACATTTGTTACTGATTATGTTAGGTAGTGATCTACACATTATCAAGTACATTTGTTACTGATTATGCAAGCTAGTGATCTACAAATTATCAAGTACATTTGTTACTGATTGATGTTAGCTAGTGGTCTACACATTATCAAGTACATTTGTTACTGATTATGCCAGCTAGTGGTCTACACATTATCAAGTATATTTCTTACTGATTATGTCAGGTAGTTGTCAACACATTATCAATAAGATTATATCAGCTAGTAATCTACACATTTATCAAATACATCTGTTAAAAATCTACACTCTAGCAAGTAGAATTATTTACTAATTATGTCATCTATTAACCTACACGTTAGAAAGTACATTTGTTTAACGATGTTAACAATGCTATGCCAAGACACTTAGATATATTATTTAATGTCACGTTTTTTGTTTTCAGAGGATGAATTTAAAGTTGATTCACAACTCGACGCTGAACTAAGTACCAACTCCCAGTTGGGTATGTTAATATTCCATATATAAGTTCTAGATATATTTCATTCCATAACAATTTTGTTATTGGACTGTCTGTACTCTGTACTGACTTTCTTTTTCTCTTTCAAAATTCAGGTAGGTTGTATGTAAGCCATTATCATGATGGTCGAAATCTAGTCAACGGTAAAATAGAAACTGTGCATACATTCGGCGGGAGAGGTTTCTCGGTATTTAACGCACAGACTATGATAAGAGACTGGGAGAGCGGGGATCAGATAGAAAAATATAGTAGAATGTTTTACCCAGACACATTTAATGGTGACAGTACCAATGGTAACTTTATTCCTCCACAGGAAAGGGACTCACAATCTCCAATTACAGTACGTACATTTTTCAAAAGATATTTTTTAAATTGAGTGTATTCATTGCTGTCAAATGCATCCCTACCCATAAGAAACTAACATTGTCTGTCTGCAACTAGCACTGCTTGAGAATAGACAAGAAGCTAGTTGAAGCCTATTTTAATTTTAGTCGAAAACACTAAGTATAATTTGTGAATTTTTCAAAGTGTTTATTCCCCTTCCATTGAAACTGTTTATTTACTCTTTGTGTGTATTAAAGATGTAAAAATGATTTTTGAATGGCGGCCATTCAGGGTAGAGAGAGAGAGAGAGAGAGAGAGAGAGAGAGAGAGAGAGAGAGAGAGAGAGAGAGAGAGAGAGAAATGGGGTTTAACGTCCACTCGACACAAACTAGGTCATTTCGAGATTAAACATATTATTTAATTTTATTTCAATAATTCGCTTGCGCGTAGGGGTCTTTAGCAGTGGGAGGAAACCGGAGGACCCGGAGAAAACCAAAGAGGTTTGACAGGCGACCCTACTCCTTGTCACTTACAAATTCAGGGTAGATATCTATTCTCAAAGTAGATAGTTTCTTATGCGCAGAATGATTCTTGACATACTATTGTAATATGGTGTCTGCCAATTTTGAAATTGCACAAACTTAAACGTGTTTTAAATATATTTCAAGGGTACATCATTAAATGCTATAGTCGACGGAGAATTCAATGGTAAAAAGTTATTGATACTAGCAAGTGGAAAATCTGGATTGCTATATGTATATGAGCTAGCAGACACTGTTAGCACTAGAACCAACTTATTATTTCAAAGCGTTCATCGACGAGGAGAGATAACCGATACATGGACAAGACTTTATTCAGCAGGCACAATCGGAGATGCTGGAATAGAAGATTTGACGTATGTATTTATTATATAAAGAAGGAAGGTTTATAGAAAGGGTGTGGAAAGAAGGATTAAGATATGGCACCTGATCTGTTCGAAATTCACACAATTATAGGATAAACACCGACTGTTTTAGAATTTAGAGGACTGTAATTGCTTATTTGATAGGAGATCGCGTCGTGTTGAAATTTAAAAGACTGTACTCATTTGACGCTACTTTTTGACAACCCAGAATCAAAAACATTTTCAATTTGAGCTTCAATGAAATTTCTGCACCGACTAAGCTAATGAAGACGGCCATACGCCATGCAATGTGTCACGAGGGACATTTTGCCCAGACAGCGGAACTGCGAACTTCTCTTATATCGAATTCCAACTGTCAAGGGTGCTTTTACGCACACGCCAATGTGCACAGGGGACCTCGGGTTTTCTTCACAACCGAACGAATAGACGCGGTTTTCGCCAGGTCATCCATCCCGCAACACTGACAATGGGAAGCCACGCTGGAAAATCCCGGGGAACTTACTCGAGCAGCACCGGGATCGAATCGAGGAGCTTCTGCTTAGTGATCTAGTACCTTACTCTCTGAGCCACCGCGGCTCCGACGAAAGCTTGAAATAGACTGATATCCATTATGTTCACCTGACTCATTTCAGGTTTATACCATTAAGTGAGAGTCCCGTGACAGGATCTCCAGTTCTTGTGGTGGTATCATCCAAGAGTGGGACAGTTTCATCGTACACCTTCAAAGAAGAACAATTCCCTTCAACCGCAGACGGTGGTGTATGTCGACCGCCATCATTCAATTAAACAATAGTTTTCTTGCAACTTCAATAAAAATTTAAAAATTATGGTTTAAGTGGGTGGGGTGGGAAATGAAATGAATGTGGATTTAACTTCGTACCTTTCTGGACTGATTGGGCTAATGAAGACGAAGACCCCATACAGTGTGCTATGAGGAAAATTTGGTCCGGACAGCGGCGCTACGGCATACCATTTTACGTGTACGCCAATGTTGTACCGCGCCGAGATATCCCGGAAGCAATACCACTCGGTAACAGCTCGAGGAACATGCCTATCAAATTTGACGGAAATGAAATGAAATGGGTTTAACGTCCCACAGTTCTGCTCCTAACCTGGGCTAATGAAGACGGACATACGCCATACGGTGTGCTAGGAGGGAAATTTTGCTCGGCAGCGGCGCTACGGCCTACTCTTTTATCGAATTCCAACTGCCAAGGGATCTTTTACGTGCACGCCAATGTGTACACGGGACCTCGGTTTTTCGTCCCATCCGAACGACTAGACAGTTGTCCTGGTCAGGCCCTCCATCCTGCATCATTGACAAGGGGAAACCACGCCGGAAAATCTGAATGAACTTTCTCGGCCAATGCAGGGATCGAACACCCGACCTCCAGGCTAGCGAGCCAGTGTCTTACCCACTTAGCCACGTGATCCCCCAAATTTGACGGAAATCTGTTAGGTGATTAATATAGATAAATAGGAATCTGGTTGTGCTTGACCTCTATCAGGACGAGCATCTTCGTGTAAAAAATAATCTGAATAGCTAGCCACAACCCACCAAGATGTTTAGCAAAGATTTGATTATGATTATCGAGGTATTATGTTCGCTAGAGTAATTCATTGTATGTAATATGGTAAACTAGATTTGTATCCAGATGCTTCAAGAACGAATATAATTAAAAAAAGACGTTAATTCAAGACTAAAAAGATTAGGAGGTTCTCTAGACGATAAGAAATTCCGATATCTATATAATTAAAGGGTTAATCAAATAATTTTTAATCAATTCTTATCAATATAACGAGCCAGTAATTTGTTTTGGTTTAGGCACTTTATCTACTCCATCTAATTCAATTATTACGGCACAGGGAGATAGAGAGAGAGAGAGAGAGGGGGGAGAGGGGGGTGTAACGTCGTTTGGGGACTTACATATGGCTCAATTTTGTTTCAATACTTATCTTGCGCTTAGTGGTATTTAGCAATGAGGGTAAACCAGAGGACCCAGAGAGAATCCACGAGGTTGGACAGGCGACCCTAATCCTTGTCACGTACAAGCTGGGAATCGAAACCACGCCATTTTACTCAGTGACGGATCGTATGATCTAAAGCGCACAAGTTAGACCATTTGGAAGGGTCTAGAAGGGTATATTCAAAATGAAAGAAGCCGGCAGATCAGGAGGTAAACGGCCGTCATAATTTTCTATTCAGTGTCTCTTTGCGCCATAATATAGTTGTAAGAAATGGTGCCTTAATTACTAGATGGTATAATTGAATACCTTAACCCTGGAAATGTAGGTTTAGTTAGACACCATGATTGGGATTCCAAGTGGTTTAGAAGCGAAGATATTGGTAGATATAGGTTTTTGCAAAGCGGAAATCTTAAAGATCCAAGTTGGTGTCATAATATATTGATATCTAACTTTGTGGCTGATGAAAAACATGGAATGAAATGGGATCAATGTACTACTTTTCTGTGTCAACTGTGCTACGCATTATCTATTTCCGAAATCGTTCACAATCAGCTATCGTCTAGCCTTTGACGAGAGTAATCGTTCTTTGATTGATTACACGAACTAGACACTTGCGCGTAGTTATATAAGAATTCTTTTCCGTGATTTTGTCAAGCAGTAGCCTGAAAGAGAAGTATCCTATATATACAGGTAAGATGGTGATAGTGTTATTATATTGCATACTATTTTCTTTGGTTTTGAATAATGGTTTGATTTTTAATTGACGCTTACCATTTCTACTGAGCTGAAACCGCTTGAAGAGGTTTTTTTTTAAAACCATTGCTAATTTCTGGTATGGATGAGAGAGAGAGAGAGAGAGGGGGAAATGGGGTTTAACGTCCACTCGACACAAACTAGGTCATTTCGGGACTAACATATGGTTTAATTTTATTTCATTAATTCGCTTGCGCATAGAGGTCTTTAGCAGTGGGAGGAAACCGGAGGACCCGGAGAAAACCCACGAGGTTGGACAGGCGACCCTACTCCTTGTCACGTACAACCGGGGATTCGAAACCACGCCAGTCGACTCAATGACAGACTTTATGATACAGCGCGCGCACGCTAACCATTCAGCCATCCAACCCCCCGTGGTATGGATGAAGAAGATCCTTTCGGAACGGTCTCTTAACGAAGTTCTCTGGCCGTTCCTGTCCGCTTCTTTTAACCAGCAGTATAAAATTATGAATGCTCTATCCCACCTAAATCCCCGGTTGTACGTGACAAGGAGTAGGGTCGCCTGTCCAACCTCGTGGGTTTTCTCCGGTTTCCTCCCACTGCTTAAGACCCCTACGCGCAATTTGTATTTTCTAGATCCAAATCCTATAGACACGTCTACATCTCTGGTAGTCTTAATGACACATCAGTTAAGACTGAAATGAAATGAAATGAAATGGAGTTTAACGTCCTACTGTTCTGCTCCTAACCTGGGCTAATGAAGACGGGCATACGCCATACAGTGTGCTATGAGGGAAATTTTGCCCGGACAGCGGCACTACGGCCTACTCTTATATCGAATTCCAACTGCCAAGGGATCTTTTACGTGCACGCCAATGTGTACACGGGACCCCGGTTTTTCGTCCCATCCGAACGACTAGACAGCTTTCCTTGTCAGCCCCTCCGTCCTGCATCACTGACAAGGGAGAACCACGCCAGAAAATCTGGATGAACTTTCTCGGCCAATACAGGGATCGAACACCCGACCTTCAGGCTAGCGAGCTAGCGTCTTACCCACTTAGCCACGTGATCCCCCCCCCCCTGACAGAGGAAGTTATACATTCAGCGATCACTCCAACTGCAGTTTTTTTCCCTCTAAACCAATCCTAACATGTAAGTAAATTTTGGTATAAACTTTACATTGTATACTCAACAGACACTATTTTGTCCAGACACAAGAGACAATATGGGCTTGATCATAATATAACCATTCGATTGTGAGCAGGGCTTTTTTTGAAAACTGTTATACATGATACGCCGATATTGGTGACATTTTAAAGTTCAAGAGCTCGTCGATTTAGACTGTTAGTACACCCAAATCTCTAAGAAAACCCCACCATTAAAGACTATTGTTTTAACTGGATTCTTTAATTAATGCCTAGCAGTACGGCTAACGATTCGCCACAAAACGCAACAAGAGGTATATATACAGAAATCTCCTACCAGTCTTTTTTGATATCAAAAAATATCAACACAAGTTGATAAAGTAACAAAAAACGAGGCACAAATAGACAAATATAATTCTTTGCTGTAGATTTCACTTTTACTGAACAATATGGCGTAGTGATACATCATTTTTTGACAGCAATTCAACCATTGCAAAGTCCTTTATATTGACCCAGTGTTTCCATCAAGGTCAATTGAATAACAATAGTTCATTTTTAATAAAGAAAAGTTACTTTTAATAAGAAATGAACTATTCTTTGAAAATAAAAAAAGTAGTTCCTTTTCAACTGACCAATCAAATTCATGTAAAGCAGTAGATTATGAAATATATCATACAAGCGATATCTACTGTAGAATGTATTATTGGGTGATAAATGACCATAACTACTTCTCCATTGTTTATAGGCAGGTCAAACGACGGCTAAATGTTGTCGTACGTAGAACAAATTGCAACAAAAGGTTTTTTGTTTTCTATTGACTCATTATAATGTCCTAAGTAAGGAAGAGAAATAGGGTGACCACCTTTGCTTGATCATATTGCGGGACATCATCTTTTTTTAAAAAAAAAACCGAGGCAGTATGCATAACAATGTTGATATAGTCACTTCACTTTTCGTCATAGCAACAATAGAAAATCAAACTATGAAATATTCACACAAGCCTGGTTTGTATTCGTGTGTCATATGATATTTACCACGAATCTTTTAGGATAATAATAGATAGCAACAATATAAATTCAAGTCATATAATATTCATATCTTTCATTTCAAACAAAATATATAAATTATTAATTTGTGCGACAGAACCGTTTGAATGGGTGCGTTGACGTTGAATTAAATTTTTAAGTTACAATCAAATGACTGCCGAATCATCAGTCATGTACATTAATCGTTTATCGCTAAAATTAAATCATGCCGAAGGTAGTGAAACGTTTTGAGATTTTATCGCTTATGTTTAATCATGCGAAATGTTGTGAAACTGATTGGGATTTTATAATAACTTAGTATAAAGGATGATATGCTGGTTAAAGATGCATGATTTAAGAGCTGGGGGTCTGGATGGCCGAATGGTTAGCACGTGCGAGATGTATCATAAGGTCTGTCATTGAGTCAACTGGCGTGGTTTCAATTCCCCGGTTGTACGTGACAAGGAGTGTCGCGGTCGCCTGTCCAACCTCGTGGGTTTTCTCTGGGTCTTCTGGTTTCCTCCCACTGCTAAAGACCCGTACGCGCAAGCGAATGATTGAAATAAAATTAAATCATGTGTTAGTCCCAAAATGACCTAGTTTGTGTCGAGTGGACTTAAAACCCATCTCTCCTTCTCTCTGGTATATTCGAGTCTAAGCCTCGCTTTCCCATTTTTGAATTAAATTTTTAAATGGCGAACCGTTCTAATCTAGTTAAATCTCGAGTATCCTATGCCATCGAGAGTTCATTATGGTCTTGTTTTGTTAATAAAATGTCTAATGGTTTATATGAAATTTCAAGCCTAAAGGAAGACCTGCAAAAGGCAGATTTAACTCTTGCATAATGTATGTTTAAACTATTATTGCAAGAACTGTCAGCTCTTTATCTAAATCTTACGTAATTCATCTTTTACTGTCCCTGGTTGATCATCACATACAAGATACCTTTACACAATCATCAGTTATGCATCAATG